GCGTCTTCAAACAACTATGGATATAATGCTCATCATGCCACAAAAAATATGCAGATAGAACAAACTTTCACTGAAAAGTTGTGTGATCATGATGCTTGGTGGTTCTATGCAGCTGGGGGAAGCGTGCTTTGACAAGAAAGGCACACCTGCTACAAGTAAGATGCTAAACTGAGACAGTGAGAGTGAATACGACAGCACGGCATTTTCTTCTGGTTTCACATTGAAGTCTCTTGCACCAGGCTTGTCCAGCTCTGGTTCCAGAAGAGCATGTTGGCCATCCCTCAATGTTCAGATCGTTAGAAAACCACACTCCCACATCTTACCCTTTGAGAACCCGGAACGTTGACCATTGCCACACGCGGAAATCAAGGCATTCATCAGGATGGTGTTGGGCCTGCTGCTGGGAAACATCCTACTTTCATCGGAGGGTGGCCCCATCCTGGCCCATCATGGCCATCTCTTGTTGAACCGCTGAGATGAAATGCGGGGTATCATGGACAATAAAAGAACTTTGCCCGAAAAGGCATCTGCAAAAGTAAACCTCCGTCAAACATCTACAACACATAATCGAAAAGAACTAATCATGATGTTCTCTATCTATCTATCCATCCATCCAACTATTCTGAATTATATTAATACACGTATATATATATATAATATACACTGCACAATTACACAAATAACTACATATTATATATATATATCACTTATGGTATCTTATTGTACGAGTATTATATTGTAATCTTATTGTAATGTATTATGTTTATGTCACTGCTCGCCTCAGCGTCGCCTGGCGCAGCGGCCGCAGCAGCTGCAGCGCCTGCGTCCAGGCGCTGGCGGCGCCGCAGGCCGCGCAGCAAGCCGCGTAAATCACCACGTCGCCCAGCAGCTGGTGCCTTGCGAAATGCCACGGGGCGGGGCCTGGGCCTAGGCAACTGGGAAAACTCTCGAAACTATACCAAAAAACGATGAAAAAACATTGAGAAAGCGAGATTTGCAGAATTGGATATTTTGTGTGAGAAAATATGCCATAATAGAATCGATAGTTGGCACATGTTGGCACTGTTTAATATCTTTTAATGAATTTTAATGCACAGTTTGGGATGGAGCATGCAGAGAATGGTGGAAATCCTTACTGCATGGAAAGGTGCTTGCCCACTGACGAGTGTGAAGTTGGCTGAACCATTGTGCCAATCCCCAGCAGCAACGGCTTTGGCTGTGGCACACCCAGGGCGTAAAATGGCTTTAGTGGGATCAAAATAGTAGTCTATGGCCAACAAACAGGCAAACAATCTTGACAGCTGATCACCATGACATGTACACTCTATTGAAATAGAAGAGGCAAGGGTTTGGCAATCATCGATAGCCCGTCCACCAAAGCAATTCCTACATGCTTGATCAACCACTCATCACCGGCAATGGTTCTATCACCATTTTGGGCGTGGTTCGAACTTGTTTGACCCCTCCAACTGGACGGGTTCATAGTTCATACCAAACACTTCCAATTTTTCCAATTTGGGTCCCCCTTCGACTTTGCGACATTTCGTCATTTTGAAGACTTTGCCAGGGCACCGATCCATGCAGTCCAGCAAGTTGATGGCGCTCTCCCAGCTGCCCTTCTCGCACGCGGAGACCGCTGTGCTGAAGGACACTACGTCCGGTTGGCCTGGTGCAGGGCTCGGAGTTGCACAAAGGTGACGGAGAACATCGGAGAACGCAAAACAAATGCAAAACACGCATACATAATGTACAAAATGCATACATGATGTACAAAATGCATACATGATGTACAAAATGCATACATGATGTACATGAATATGATTGAATATGTATTATATGTATTATCTATTCATTAAATCATTATCACATATTTTTTTGACTTCAAAAGTGGTCACTGGTCCAAATGGGGTCTTCAAATTGTTCGGATAATGTTTCTGGAATGCTGGATCTCTGGATCTCTATTTTTAAGGTATGTGGAGCAGATTGCATATGACAAATCCATGCAAATTCACTAGAGCATGTTTTTGAAAGTTTTTGACTGTTCATAAGGGACAGAAGCAAGATGCACAATTTCAGTTGGATTTACATAGCTTTCATCAACGGCAACAGGAACGATGTCATTAGTATTAGCAAACTGTTTGTTTGACTTGTTTGGCTCGCCTGATACAACACAATTTTCTTGAAATTCTTCCCCTGCACTGGTACAAAGGAAACAAACACATCAGTGCTTCTTCTAAAGCCTTTAAATGAGTTGGTGCTGGGTCGTTCTAGCAGGGAAACTATGCCAAATCATGGAACAATGGAAGAACTCTGCGAGGCAGCATCTGGCGCAACCACAACACCCTGCCTGCAGCCATTAGCTCTGCAAATAACTGGAGAGCGTGGGGCCACTGCCGGGCTTGCCCGCACAGTTTCATGCAAACGCCTAGGGAATTCCTAGGGACAGAAGCTGTTGATAGATTTGATATGGTCCTATGGTGATGATATGGTGTACTAGCGACAACGCTACATAACCTACTTTGAAACATAGACCCAGAGGATCTAACGGGATCTAAGTGATCTAACTGGACAGAGACTAGTCTTTATCCAAAAAGAGACCAAGTTCAACCCCAGCAACTCGGTTGCATTCTTACTGTGCCGAAGGCCTATCCCGACATGAAACATCGTTGTCGTTAGTTTTGTTGGCTCGGTGCAGCTTGGAGGCTCACTGCAACATTGTTGCCCACTCCTGCAGGGCTCTGACGGGGATATCAACGGAATTCAATGGATATCATGAGTCCTGAGTACACAATACCAAGAACGCCATTCCACAACATTCCACGACAGCATCAATCGAGAGCACACTGGACCTCGCTATTCAAAACACCTACTTGTGAGGATGGGGCGAGTGCTTCCTATCGCATCAGCACAATCATTGCTGCTGGGTCAAAGAAGCAAGGCTATTGACTTCTGCTGGACTAGTAGAGGAAGCTACATGATGATTTGTTTTGGAGCAGAAATCAAGAAGCTGCAAAGCTAAGCATACGTATATATGATGCTAAACATTGCCAAACTAAACTACTTGTGCAATGATGGGAAAGCTGAATGTGTAAACGCACGGGGCTGTGTTCTTGGGCTGGATTTTGCCAGAGTGACAAGTGCAGGACTCCGAATGCAATACACTGAATACACAATTGATCGCAGTTGTAGCAGTGTGCCTGAGGGAACCCTGCGCCATGGCTCATGGCACAATGTCCCTTTCACGGCTGCGCTGAAATATCTGAAATGGTACTTCGGCTGGCACGTGAGTTACCACTCTACGGCATTCTACCATTGTGTCTCCTAAGTTAGAAGAATGCTTTCCAGGATCTTGTAGCTCTTACATCACGCTTGTGCTAACAGCACAGGTCCCCTTGCAAGCAAGACTTACCTGAGCAAACTGTCGTTTTCATTGCCTGAAAACCAACTGTTTGGGGCCTTTGGGCCCTGACTTCAGACCGGCTCCTCCATCTAACCTCCTGAGTGATTCCAATGCATTGCGCCAGCGGCTCGGCGGAAGGCTCCGAATCTCCCGCACCTCAGAGTCTGGTCAAGAAGAAATAAGAAAAAAACAAATCCTATGAACATCTGAGATTACGATATCTTTAAATTTAACAAGGATGATTTGGAATATCATAATCTTGCACTAGCATTGTGGTCGCAATGAAGAAAAACCATTTAACATAATGAGGTAGGCAATCAAAATGATTTCGAAGGGTTTGTTGTTGCAGTAAGCACAAAAAACTTTCGGAAACTGGTCTACTGGCAAACAGCTGCCTGCGATGACTCTAGCTAGGTTCACAGATGTTCACAGCAACTTGCTATCACTTGTTAAACGCTCTGTTTGATGGACACAACGCTGACTGCATCGAAGTCCATTCATGCACTGAAGCTACATATGCTTCAAATTGTGCTCAAACATCAGCAAACATGGTAGAGCTCAAGGGCAACAACATACAGAATTTATTTGCACCTAACAAACTAAGCAAACTCACAGAAAAGATCCAGAATACCTGGCATGCATCATATAGGAACTCATCTTTTACCTTCCATGGTCCAAACATTGTGTGCTTGTCTTGAGAGGATATTCATGGACATTCAACCAGTGCAAAAACATTTGCAATATCAAAAAGAAATGGACGCCATGGACGTTCAAAAAACTAGTTTTGGGATGTTTTTGGATAGTTTTGGTAGATTTTGGGACATTTAAGGACCGAGTCCAAGAGCTTCCCAAACCAGTCCTGGAGAGAAGTGCGCTGAGCTCCTGACCACAGCCACTGCTGCTGGAACCCGACCCGTAGCCGGCATCGGGTCGCCGGCAGAGGAGCGTCACCATCAGAACAGGGACAAAGAATACCAAAGGACCAGCGGAGGCAGCGGAGGTAGAGTTTTTGCCACGTGACTTGATAATTGAGAAACTTGTTTGATCTTGTTAGGGGTGTTTGAACTCTATCATTGATGGAAACAACCATGTAAGGCAGCATTGCGATGGACATAGTGGACAAGTACAAACACAATCTTGTCGAATCCCTTGCTCGAAGCGAATGATGTCATTCCAACGAACATGGTGTGCCGGGGTCAAATGGGCTTGCATTGCTGCTCAGCTTCGGAGGACGAGTTTACTTTAATCATGGCTCTGCGAGACATTCAAACTCAACAAATCTGACACAACCCTGAGCACCACCTGAAGCTTTGCTGAGAAAAGAACCATACCAGATTTGATTCGCATGTTTTTTTTAAATCTTTTTTGGCAAATTTAAGAAAACCTTCAGGGAAATAATTCCTTGAATGGTGTCTGACTCCTGGTCCGTGTGCACATTTCTTGTCGTTTTTTCTCAGTCTGCAAAATGTGAGAACATGACTTTATGATGAACAACACACAGTTCCTAAAACTCCCCCCAAAACAGGCACAGTGAAATTTCAAGCAACTGATTTGGCTCCTTGATTAGCTTCCAACCAGTGGCTGTACAGCAATAGTCCACCTCTTCTTCCATGAATTCTGAGATATGACGTCTAGCCTCAAATGGCATCATCAAAAGTTCCACCACAGAATTGAATAGGCAAATCAATGTCCAAAAGAAGTCATCGTGCTGGGAACCCATTTTTGTGCACGTTCCGCATAAAATGAATGCCTGCAAGTTGCTTTAGGATGCTTTGGGAAGAAATTGGAACTGTTAACAATCTGTGGGACTTGTAGCCCGTCAGTCTGTGAGCTGAAACAAACGAGATTTTGAAGACTCCCGGTTTACGATATTTTAGGGCCCTTGACTTGGATGGCAACCTTCCTCACAGCCTTACAACACAAGATCCATGGGTGTCAAGTGACCTCTCCCAGTTCCATCGAGACGGCGCCCTGTAGCTGGACGAGGGACTCCTGGAGGAATGACGTATCATGGACGTATATCCGGGTTCGAATTTGAGGGAAGGGTCGCACCCGGCTTCTTGTAAGCATAAACTGGTGGGATTTTGAAAACCTTTGTAAAATGGATCGGTTTTTGGGAATTTGGGCCCTTACAAAAAGCATAGGTTTTTAGCACCCACATTCGACTCTAAAATCCGTCATCATTTTGTAAGGTGACAGCTTTCTTCATGATATGAATGTTGTATCCCACTCGATGACCTTTTTATAAGAAGTTGTGATTTCAGATAGCATTTTTGGGTATCATTCTGTAAGGATCTGTAAGGCAACAACTTCCGGTTCCCTGCATTTCTTTCCCGGTCTCGTTGATTTTCAAGCAGCCTAGGATTTTTTTTCTTTGCCACCTTTTGTATTTTTGTATTTTTGTTTCTTTGGCATCATTGCCTACCAGAACTCCTGTCATGATGTCTTGCGTTTGTGTTAATGGTACAAAAAAACACATGACAGTTGAACACGAAAGAACATGTACAAAATGAAAATAGGAGATAGCCGTGAGCGTAGCCACACTTACAACTTGCAAAAGAACCTTGGCCGACACAACACCCGTTGAGAAGAAAGTTGGTGCCTCCACTAAATCCAAAAAGAAATTGAACTCAAAATGGCTGCCATAAAACTTGGACTGTGCCTTACAAAATGACAAGGTGCTTGTAGCCCCAGGAAGCTGCCATGAAAGGGTGTTTTACATTTTGCTGTGTCAACGCTGTGGTTTCGAAAATAGCCAAAACAGCTATCAGATGTTTGAGCCGAATCAAAAACATGCACAGATCTGAACAATAATGTGTATAAATGCCTAAAAAGCATATATTCTATTCTCACAAAATAGTTCTTCTACTCTTGACGACATCTCCTTACAAAATGTCATTGCACAGCCTGCTGAGTTTCTTTTTTTAAATGTTCAATAACAGCATTTTAAATTTTAAGCTTACAAAAAAACTCAAAAAACAAACTTGATGGTCTTATAGAATGAGTTGGCCCCTCAAAACTCTTACAAAATGAACACTTCAAAATGTACAACTTTGACTTTTAGGTGTCCTGTTACAAAATGCCCCGGTTAGGGGGCTTCTTGTATCTACAAAATGCCTATATATACACCATTTATAAGAGGGTCGACCCCTTTCAAACGGGGATGGGCGTATCATGATCTGTCCAGATGATTCCAAATCGTTCTTTGTCCAAGCGAAGCGTGGGAAATCACTGGCAGAACATGTCGATCGATGTCGATGGTGATCAAATCTAGCAAATCAGGGAGCTGGAAAATGGGTACGACGACGAAAACGACACTTGTTGGAAATCATCCCATGTCCACGTCCACGGTAACCCAGCTGATCTGACAAACACAAAACACCAAAAAACTCAAAAATGAGAGCATATGAGAGCCAGGCCGCCTCACTGATGAGATGTTTACTCAAATTACTCATTTGGATGTCATTGGTGGAATTTACAGTTCGGTGTCCCTCCAAATGCGAAAACCCAATACCTTTGTGCTCTTGTGACCATGTGGCCTGTACTCCGGCACGTTGTAGCGCCAGGCTCTCCTGCGCCAAGGCCATCAGGAGAGCTGACAGATCTACAACTAGCCAATCATCATCAATCATCCACAGCAGCCGAACAGTGGATAATGAAATGATAATGAAATATAATGAAGCTTGAATGGGCTACCAGGGCTACCATGCTCATCATGCTCCTTAAAATGATTCTCGCAGCTCCCTCTATCCTATGCGGCCTGTGAGTGCCACATGTAGGGATGACATGACGTAACCGTACATAGGACTGTCATTGACCCTGCTCCTCCTGTCTTTGGGAGGAATCCACATCCTGCCGAGAGGTGTTTTGATCTGCAACGCAGTGGTTACTGCTTTACAAAGGGGGTGGCAATTCTTTTTCCATGCTTTCTATCTTGACAGCGTTGATCACTTGATATATCACTTGATTGTCACTTGAATTGCAAAAATGACCAGACTCTGCGGATTCGTAGGATAGCTGAGCCCTAGTCGTAATTACATGGCCTTACAATGTAGGACATTCGCCTACTGACATCCTTGGAGTGGGACTAAATTCTGGCTATGCATGGATTCAATTGGATTAATATAGATTGGAAATAGATTGGATTGGGATATCCAGCATTATCCAGCCTGTTCCCGTCCCAACTGATCCAATATTTCGTCTCGTGTTCTACTGCTCCACGCTGGTACAGGTCAGGGCAAGGCAACTCGAAGGCCCAACAGATCCCAACAGAACACATGGGCCAGGGATGGCCAGGGTTCATTGTGAGGGGGAAGCCCAATGGTTTTAGGGGTCAACGTTCCTCTGGTTTAAGCATTTCACCCATGAGTATTTAATATTAACATTTCACCCATGAGTATTTAATAAAGCACTTGAGGCCGGGGGTGGATGACGAAAGCTAGCGGGGTAGGAGAAAGAAGGAAGGGAAGAGGTGAGTTGCGGAGGGACTGTCATCATCGTGTCGCGGCATTGTTCGTCCCAACGAGGATGCAACAATGATATATTGATATATGATATATAACAATGATATATATGGGGGAGGGGGCAGGGGGGGGCCCTTTCGCGGGAAAAAATCACGTGATGTCCTTGGGGAGCCCCGGAATACGTGCTAAAGCAAGAAGACTCTAGCGAGCTGACGCTAGCTTTCGTGATAATGACAATAATTGCCAATAATGATAAAATGTAATTGAATAACGATGATGATGATGATGATGAATGATGAATGATGAATCATGAATCATGAATCATGAATCATGAATCATGAATCATGAATCATGAATGATGAATGATGAATGATGAATGATGAATGATGAATGATGAATGATGAATGATGAATGATGATGATGATGATGATGATGATGATGACGAGGACGCGGACGAGGACGAGGACGATGGAGAGGACGATGACGATGATGATGACGATGATGATGACGATGATGATGATAGATAGATAGATAGATAGATAGATAGATAGATAGATAGATAGATAGATAGATAGATAGATAGATAGATAGATAGATAGATAGATAGATATAATAGATAGATAGATAGATGGATAGATATAATAGATAGATAGATAGATAGATAGATAGATATAATAGATAGATAGATAGATAGATAGATAGATAGATAGATAGATAGATAGATAGATAGATAGATAGATAGATAGATAGATAGATAGATAGATAGATGAATAGATAGATAGATAGATAGATAGATAGATAGATAGATAGATAGATAGATAGATAGATAGATAGATAGATAGATAGATAGATAGATAGATAGCTCTCTCCCTCGCTCGCTCTCTCGCTCTCTCGCTCTCTCGCTCTCTCGCTCTCTCGCTCTCTCGCTCTCTCTCTCGCTCTCTCTCTCTCGCTCGCTCGCTCGCTCTCTCTCTCTCTCTCTCGCTCGCTCTCTCTCTCTCTCTCGCTCGCTCGCTCTCGCTCTCGCTCGCCGTGCTGCTGCCGCTGCCGCTGCCGCTGCCGCGGCCCTGACGCGGCCGCCTTGCTGCTGCGGATGATGATGGTGATGATGATGATGATGATGATGCTGATGATGACGAGACTCGGACGAGGACGCGGACGATGGAGAGACCTGACCGATGATTGATGACGATGATGGTGACGATGATATGACGATGATGATGACGATGATGATGACGATGATGATGACGATGATGATGATGATGATGATGGTGGTGATGGTGGTGGTGGTGGTGGGGGAGGGGGGGGGCCCTTTCGCGTGAAAAATCACGTGATGTCCTTGAGCAGCCCCCCCAATACTTGCTAAAGCAAGAAGACTCCAGCTAGCTGACGCTAGCTTTCGTGATTTCACCCATGAGTATTTAATAGTATTTAATAGTATTTAATAGTATTTAATAGTATTTAATAGGATTTAAATGATTTCAAATTCAACAATGTATTTCATGAACCTGAAACTTGACGCCAATCTTGGTGGGCTATAGTGGAGTCCTGTTGAATTCTTTTGCCCTTTGCAGCCCTGAGTTGGAGTCCCAAGATGTCCCAAGTCTCCTGAGTCAGAGCCACTCGAAGCTCCGACAGCCCAGCACACCACTCCTGCCAGCTCCCAGCAGGCCACATCGTCTGCGCAAAGTCAATGGGGTCGATGATTTCACATTGGGTTGGGTCATGTTGGGTCAATGTTTATCAAGGGATACACTGGATATCACTGGATACATACAATGACAACACGGAGGTTCGTCGAATTTCGATTTCATTAAACTTCATAACTACAAGATCGTTTCAACATATTACAACTACAAGGCATGGTGAAGACTCGACCTGTGGAATCGGCATCAGCGTAGTCCTTTGCAACTGCACCCACAGACTCCTGGATTCCTTCCTGCGGTGGGAAACTTGACCACCCACCCATTCAAAGGATGGCGAAGACAGGTCATGCGGTCATGGTCAAGGATGTCAAGGATGTCAAGGATGTCAAGGATGTCAAGGATGTCAAGGATGTCAAGGGCCGCAGTTCACATACCGTCTTCATTTACAACATCCCAGAAGCAGCTCAACGAACTAGACGAAGTGTCCATCAGCAGTTTCTCAATAGTTTCTCTGAATAGAATCATGGGTGCCAGATGGTGCCAGCATGGTATTGAACAGTACATCCTTTCTTTGTATTTTTTTGTGCCTTTCGAAATACTTCTTGCTTGCAGTTGCATCAGCTCGAACTGCCTCCCCCCCACATCTTGAATGGTGTTGGACTGGCCAACCTGATTGGATCATATTGGATCTACTTCTCAACTGAACCAGGACCACCACGCCAGCCTGTGACTTCCTGAGCTCTCGAAGTTGTTGACCTGCCAATTGCAGTCTGCCATTGGGATTCCTCCAAAACCAGGCCAAATATATCCAAATCCTGACTGGAACATTTTTTGCGACTTGTAAGGTTGGGGATACACCAAGTTCTGATTTTACTTAGCACCTTGTTTCTGCTGCTCCGCCAGAAGAAATGCCTTGACTTCTGCCACTTCCTTGCCGTGAAGAGAAAACTATCGAATGTGACACGGCAATTTCAGCGCAGGGAGACTTACTGTATCTTGCATGATGGTTAAGCCAGAACTGGCAGCATCGCAAGCATAAACTACAGTGCTTGGGACTGATTATGAAAAATGTAGTTGCAATGTCAAGGGGCACCATAAGAGGGCTGCAAACTTCGTCTCGGAAAACTTGGTTCGCACTTCACTGTTCCTCAAAATCTTCGAACAATAAAGCAACTAGCGACACGCCGTCTCTATGGAGCTTTGGTTGATACATATGATTGATGATATCACAGTATTGTACAAGATTCATCAAAATTCACACATTGAGTGCTGCTTGCATTTCATCTGCATAAACACCTGGAACATCCAATCCATATCAATCCATGATGACCCGGCCGCAACACGGAACACATGCCTCGCAGCATTCCTTGCGATCCTCCATGACTTCCCTCTTGAATGTCCTGCCCAGCCAGGACAAATGTGGAGGAACATCTTGCTATCTCCGACATAAAACACACAATGAAAGGAATGATGACACAGTTTCCTTCCACCATCTTTCATGATTTTCATAGCATTCTGCCCCGCAAGTTCGCCCTGCTGAGACTCTAGCTGCAATAGGGAGTCAATCCAAAGTGCATCAGTGCTGGCCTCAACATACATCAGCCAACATCGTGCTTTTTCGTGATAAACTTTCTAAACGAGAAATATATGAACCATCTCTTTTCTGGATACTTCCGGTGAAAATCTTATATCTTGCAACTCATTTCCAAAGGTATGAGACATTATGAGACTGTCTGGACTTGGGAGTCAATAATTCAAACATCTCAACATCACAGAACAAGGTGATGAAAGGTGCATCCATCTGATTGGAATCCGACGATTTCAGGCCAGGTCCCCCCAGCGGTTTCGGAAGCCGAACCCCTCAAAGCCTGGAAAGCAAAGCGACCAACGCCGATGCCGATGCCAGAATATGCAGGACAAATCAAGACAATACTAAGGTGATCTAAGGTGATCTAAGGTGATCTAAGGTGCAGAACAATACACAACTGAAGGAAAGATAAGGAAGGGAAGTGAATGTATGAAATGCAAACCAAACCCGTTGAATAAAACCAACCCACTATTTTCCCTTGCATCTTGATTGCGGGATGGATATTTTCTCTAGCTCAGTGGCCTGAAGCATCATGCACACCTGCTCGAGGACTTTTTTTCACAATTTGTTACTCTTCAAGCAGGTTTTCACTTTCAGATCTTTCAGACTTCCAGCGAATGAGAAGCATGGGAAAGGCATTGGAAAGGCATGAAATGAAATCATCATATCCAGTGTCCGTCCAACATCGTCCAACTTCCACTGGTGCCACAGGTTTCCCGGCCAAACAAACTTTCAGGTCATCCGACAGCTCTCCCATCTCGGCTGAGGCCCAATTCCGTTGCAGCTCCTGAAGACTTGTGGCGTCTTTGGGTTGGACGTGTTGGACATGGACTGATGGCTGTGCGGTAAGCATGACTCCTTTCCGAAATCATTGAGTTCTAAGAATTTCTAGGAGGCCATCAAAGGTTTTCGCATGTTTCTGTCTTTTTTGCCAAACCTTTATCTTCATTCGCGGGGCAATCCCAAACCACGTGCACCGCTGCACAGTCTCCTGCAGCCTCTGGCTCGAACCCTGCACCTTTTGCGGTGCAGCGGCAAAGGTAACAAGCCGACAAGCCTTTGGACAACCAATCATCAGTGGCATGTCCTGGCATGTGATCCTTGTGGAATTTATGGAATGTCTGTGAACATATCTGCGTGGGACAAGAAAAGGTCCTGCGCCACTGCAATTGTCACTCACTCATCCATTCTGCTCTCTTCTATGCTCTCCTGCACTTCTACCCGTACTGGATACATATTATATATAATTATCATTATATACTATTTTACTAAATCTATTGAACAATACATGTTTCTGATCTAGCCCGTTCCACACACATCGATTCAGGGCAGAGTGTCACATTTTGGACACGTTCCCCACTGGATCACAACGCATTTACAAAATCTTTCGATTATTGCATCCTCGTTTTCTTACCAGCACAAATCTATACTCGTCTATACTGTGACGCTGCTTGCAAAAACTATGAGAAGATATGAGAAAATATGATGATAAAAATGATATTCAAGGCTTGTACTGTTCTTCCCACCTTGAAGCAAACTCTAGCTCGACTTCCTCATTTGACCCAGCCAAATACCATGTTCCTGTGGCATGCTTGGGCATCTCTGCGTTTTTGCCACAACACCCCGAAACATTTTCAACCGTCAGCATGACATCTCGGCAAAGCACCTCAGCTGCAAGTCCAGGCTGTCGTTGTTGAAGCCTGGAAAGTCCAGGGCCATGGGCTGACGCTGCATTCAAACATCCCAACAAGTAAATAGCTATGAGTTTCCTAGGACCTAAAGGATAACACACGCACACAACACGCAAACAAAAGGACTCCTCATCATCGTCATCACAAGCACCAACAACTTCAGCTATCTTCCACTGTGCACAAAGCCACAATCAGTGGTGGAATGCATATAGGTTCTATTACGTAATGTTCCGTTGTGATTGGTGTGTAGCCCACCACCCCAAACGAATGCTGTACTCTCTTTAAAGTTGAGCTTCAAAAAACTGTTCCCCAGATTTTAGTAAGGAACACATTTATGATGGATCTTAATTGTCGACAATTGAACTCTACTTCTTTTTGGCAGGTGAACTCGTAGTACAGGTAGTACTTGCAGTACTTGTAGTGAGTGGGGTTCAGCATGTTGATTGCGTTACCTTTTGCACCTCAAGTTTTTTTGTTTTTTATGAACGGTGTAACAAGGGAAAGAGAAAGAGGAAGAGAAAGAAACATAGGAAGAGATAGAGAAAGAGAAATAGGAAGAGAAAGAGATACAGAAAGAGAAATAGGAAGAGAAAGAGATAGAGAAAGAAAAATAAAAGGACAGAAAGAGAAAGAGCGAGAGAGAGAGAGAGAGAGAGAAAGAGGCATAGGAACAGGAAGAGAGGAATAGGAAGAGAAAGAGAAGGCTGCTTTTGTAAAAGGTTTTTCTTTCTTCTCTTGGCTCCAGGATCACCTTAGGAAAAAAATGCTGTAATTCCGAACCTAGGCAACAAACCTACTCAAGTGAATTGAAGCCTCTCATGGTCCAGTGTCTTGGACATTTGTGGAAAAATTGTTCTTTCATAAGGGTTTGATAAGAGATTGGCCGATCTTTTAGGAAAACGAACAAGATAATCTTCAGAACAAAATGCTACTGCTACGCGTTTTATTTTCACACACACACATTTTTTTTGGGAAAAAAAACATGGTCAGCCACTTTTTTGCCACAATAGTGAATCACAAGATGAAATCAGGGGTGCTGAATAATTTGTGTTTTTTAGCCACAATGGCCAACCTTGCTATATCACAAATCAGGATCCAACAGTACTTCATTCATGTGCTGGCCTCATATCATTGCTAGAAAAAATAGAGTTTTGCGCTTGTGGGTAAACCTTTGGCATTATGGGGCGTCCAACTAGCAGCAAGCTCAACTGAAGCAACACTTGGGTGATATCCATGTTTGCACTCGGTGGTCAGGAGCTTACCTTCCAAGGCCCATCCTCTATTGGAAATGCACAGTAGCGGATCAAAATGTCACTTGTCCCGCAAAATGTCAGTCAAAGGCACTTAGATCATCTACTAAATCTCCCTCTCTATGACTCTATGTACTTTTGTTTGGGGCAGTAACCACACAATAACTCACGCACACAAAACATCATACAAAACACCTGTCGGACCTTTTACTTCCCGCCAACCCCATTCTGAGATGTGAAATACTAGTAGATCTAGTAGTATGAAGATGCGCAACTGCCCACACCTGATCTGCATGGTGGGATCTAACTTCAACTTGCTGCGCAGAGTCTCCTGCTGCTGTTCAGCTCGGTTACAGTATATACTGTATCTTTTGGCACATGTGCATTATCACATGGATTTACTGGGGCGGACTGGAAGGAACGTGCTCAAAGGATTGCCATGACATCTGCACAGATTGAACCTGCTGAATTCAACGCGCACAAACAGGATGAACCAGATACTGTAGTCTTCCTTCTCGCCTAAAATTATCCAGGCAAAAAACAACTAGCAAACTTGAGATTCAAGCTCACCTATTAGATAGAAGAATCATGAAGAATCCCATATCACTTCTTGATGCAACCAGCCATCTCAATTACCCTACAGTATCGTCCCTATATCTATTTGTAAATACATCCCTATAATTTTCCTGTCACTGAAACTAAATGCAGTAATTCAAACACTTTCGGCATTCAAACCGTAACCATCCTCAAAAGCTTCGGGCGGCGGCCAGGATGCTTCGGGGAAGTTGAGTATCAGTGCCTGGCAACGAGAAGGATCGCCTGACGCTCGTTGTGTATAGGAGTGCCATATCGTCGGAATAAAACCCGTTTGCACGATACTGGTAGCTGCTACCTGGTAGCTGTATATTGATGGGGTTGTCATTGCACGAACTTTTTCTGCAATGTAGAGGTGTATCATGGTGTACCATGGTGTACCAACTTTTGGACATGTATGAGCCCAACACAATGCGGCCAAGCAGGTGCTCAGTTCGGAGTGCGAGGTCTGCAATTTTCAGGCACAGCATATATCAATTCAACTCATGAAGCACATATTGAGAATCATACCATATCAATAGATCTCATGTGAGGACAACTGTGCTAAGTTAAGGGAGTTTCCCTCACCATCAAAATGCAGCGCGCCTCGCTGGCACTCTCCGTTACAGCTCCTTTCACCGCTGCAATTTATGTGAAACTTATGCCAGTTCCAGATCTTTGTGGCTTGTGTTGACTGCATCAACTTGACCCTGAACCATCCACCGTAAAATTTATTCATGTTGAGTCCCATAGATTTTCATCATGGGTTTGGACAGAAAGGGTTCCGCTGGCAGGTTCCTTCGCAATGTTCCCAAAATCTGTTGGAAACTATTTCAACACAGGAGATCAAGAAAACAACATGTTGTCTTCACAAACGCAGTTGACTAGACGACCGTGTCCTCGGAGCCCTTGGATCTCTTTGGCCGCCTACACAAACCAAAACACCAGTAGCCATCAACTGAGTGCACCCTTAACATCCCTTACGCACTAGTTGCTCTGTGGCTCAGATTCTTCCATTCTAAAAAGGGATATCCGGGATAGATGTTGATAGTAGTTCATGTTAGCCTGAACATGGCCAAACTATCGAAAGATAATGAAAAATATTGAAACATTGAAAATCGGCTGGATTTTGCTGCATTCATTTCTCCCTTACCCGCTCCACCTGAAACTCCTCAGTACAGCGCTGCGCGAGGCTTTGGACTTCTGCATGCAGCTCCTGACAACGTGGACTGACCGTCTTGAAAGTGGGATCTACACACCAAAATGGGTAAGTTTGCTTGTATGCTTTGAATCATGAGCCTATATGAGCCTATATGAGCCTATATGAGCCTCCTTTACAACTGGTTCCAAGAAGTGTAGTCTAGGAAAGGATGAAGAGTTCCATTCCAATTTAAAAACACTGAGCAGAACAAGGGCGCAATTTGGAAGCCAGACTTTGTGCATCTTGAGGAAAGAAAAAGGGAACAGCAACACCATTCCATTCTATTTCCCTCTCTTCAATTATTCTTTTGGATTTTTCTCCTTTCGGTACAGTCACCACTTGCCTCGCAGCTTTGGGCAGTAAAGCAACGATTTTCCTCGATGCTGGACAGCGCCTCGCCAATTGTAACCAATCACACTGCAGGGATTCTCGCACAGGGGGGATACTGTACTTGCCCCTACACAAAGACGAGGAATGCAACTGTTGATGCAAAACATCTGATCAAAAACAGTTTGGGATTTGTGAAGCTGAAGGAATCACAGGGCTGTGGCAGGATTGCGTCCATCAACCAGCAGCATCCAATCAGAGTGGCCCTTGTATGTGCTTGTGATGCGTAATGGCTTTGAACATTTTGAACAGAAGGCAGCACTTGACTTGGACAAAATCTGGCTCTCCACCAGCCTCGAAACTGACAAGCTTCAACCTGGGTTCTGCACCGCGGCTGGAGAAGAACGGCCATTCTACAAAGATTCCGACGCTCGTCACTTTTATTGGGTGCCATGATTTGGTAAAAGGATTCAAACCACAGTCAAAAGCTTCTTCAGGACGGCTGTGGAATATGAACCTCGTTGTAAACAGATTACAAACAAACACACTAGCTGCCCGAGCATGGTCCAGCCAATGTTGTTTTCAAAAGAGGTATGGCCAGCATCGGCTTATGTAGTAATCCCAAAAGATTGGTGGGAAAACGGCAACACTACATGGTTTTGCCTTCAGCCATATTCAGCCACTCCACATTTGACTCTTGCAATGCCTCCCCTGCCAAACAGGCATAGGGCCAGCACACAATCACGACCAATTATAGATCAATGATGTCAAGCAATCTCTACAATGTCTTGGCATCCGCCTCCTGTATCTTGCTACAAACAAGTAGGGCTTGATACTCTCGCTCAGCATACACCGACCATTGATAGCTATCAGCAGGAACTTCGCTTGTCTCCGGTGTCTCCGGTGACAACACCATCGATGCTCCATGTGCCAATCGCTGTTGATCCGGGATACACTTCTGTGGCCGTTCACGTCTAGCCCGTTGAATGTTGTCACGGACCACTGGGAGCTCCTCAGGGCTGACGGAATGCACCACCATGGCACAAGGCGGAACGGCCAAGGCTTCGTGAGGCTCGTGTTTTTGCACCACACGGGTGCGGTTCAAGGCAGCTTCGCTGGTAATGACCTCGGTCTCGTAATCTGCATAACTCACCACCTCAACGCGGCCCCATCTCCAGATGCATCCAGCCAAAGACACATCTTCCATGCCAGTTCCTCCAGCATGTTGAAGGAGTTGCAGAAGGCAAAATGGCGACCAGGTGGACAGTTTGGGCAACAAAGCCCTCGAAATGATGTAACCAGCACCTCCAGATGCAAATCTTGTCATCACTCCTCGCGAACTATGAGCCACCTGTGGGACGCCCAAGAACCAGAAATCTGCTGGGTCGAAACACCGGAGCCTTTGTTCAATAAGCGGCACATTCAGAAAACTGTCTGCATCGGCTTTCCTTAGGTGAGATGGTTGGTGTTATCAAAGGTCAGTTATGACGCCCGATATCAGGAGTTAGAAACAAACTGTAGGTGATGAAACGCTGTGTGCAAATACATCTTGAAACAATTTGAAACAGGCCAAAGAGATGGACAGGGTAGTGACATCTTGTCGATGTCATACAACTTCGCAACACTCAAACGCACAATGACTGATAATAAATGGATGATGCAGGTTGCATCGACCCAACTGAATTGTACGTACTGATGATTACTGATGTATATATATATATATATTATGATATATTATGTCATATTATATTATATTAAATTATATTATATTATATTTTATTATATTCTATTTTACTATATTATATTATATTATATTTTATTATATTTTGTTATATTATATTATATTATATTATATTGTATTGTATTATATTATATTATATTTTACTATATCATATTATATTATATTAAATACATACGTATATCATCTATATGTAAGGGTAGTTGGTTGGATGAAACACTTGCATCTTTCTCAATCCATGCAAAGGATGCATTACAATCATCACATAAAGCGAAAGCTTCCCTGTGCAACTTTTGGTCGAAGAGATCAGACTGGATTCCACAAAACCAATTTAGTGAATCAACAGCATCAACAGCAAAAGCAAAGCCAATCCACAACTTTCAATGCTCAGTTTCATGTACCAATCGCATGCACTGACCCATTCTGGTCGACCCAAAGCTTCGAAGAGTAGAAAGGTCCTCACCGGCAAATGCGCATAGTCTGTATCAATATCAGTCTCCAATAGGAAGGTCTGTCCATCCAGCAAGAGCGACAATGGTTGGTTGCTGACCTGGGTATTGTTTGCAACATTTTGCAACCATTGGCCATCAGAAAGCTAGCCGTTTCTTGACGCACACACGCGCACACCTATATAATCCTATACTATACAACAAGTATTCCCAGCCAACACACGAAGTTTGGGGGCAACAGTGAAGCGAAATCCTTATTGGATTGGAGGCGCAGCTCCTTTTGACTCTGGATGCGACGTGCGCGCATTTGTCCCACCACTTTGGGCCATACACCAACGGCACCAATGAATGTAGTGCATGTCCTCCATGACATGCCTCAGTGCACAGCGTTGCACTTGACATTGGAGGGAGAGTGTTGGTGTTGGTCCAACTAGCTCCTGCTGCTTCGGGGGCTGTTCTCGTCCTCTGGCTCGGTGTCCACATACTCCCGGTAGTGCATGCGCTCCAGGATTTCCAGCAGGCGGACACGTTCTCGTTCGAGAGCTCCGATCCGACGGAACAGCACCTCACATTGATAGTTCCTCTCATCCAATTCTGGATTGAGGGTGTCTACTTGCACCTCAGCTGCTACCAGCTCTTGTCCATCTCGGCCTTGAGCTTGTTGTTGTTGCAGCTTCCTGATGGTCTCGATCAGCGTACCGGATTGGCGTTCTTCTTCACGCCAGGCAGTGAAGTAGTGATCTCGTTCACCTTGAACTTCACGTAGGGCTTCCGTGAGGTCCGTGCACTCGATGTCCTTGCGGACGTAACTGTCCTGCACCTCTGCTGCTTGTTCTTTGACACCTTGGAGAGTGTCGGAGAGACTGCTGATCTGCACTTCTCGGTGGATGCATGCATGACGCATCTCACTCATCTCAGTGAGCTCATGTAGCTCCAGGGATTGCGTCTCTGATGTGGTAGTCCTCGATGTAGGGCTCGATCTCGTCATCCACCAACCCACCTTGTCGATGATCAGGATGAAGACAAACGTCATGAAGTAGATCAGCGGCCACCAGCCGTTGTCCTCAGTGACGTCGGATCCCTTCAGCGTCTCGGCGCTCACAAAGGCCACAGTTGCCGGCGAAGCAATCTTTGAAGTCATTGATACCCTGGAAGCTTCGCGCTCCTGTACTGTCTTCTTCTTGGATGCGGTGTAGGACGTACCGTCCACCAGTTGAAGCCATCCACTCTTCAGAGCGTCTGAAAACAAACTGCTGTCTGGACCCGATTTTCGTGAGTCCATCAGCGAGTTGTCTTTCGCTGCTCACCCAGCGAAGTTGTCCTTGAACTTGTTTGATCAGGTCTTTGATGACCAGTGCTTCAATATCTACCCGCTTGTCCAGAGAAGATTGAACTCCTTCTCGTTGAATCAGGTCGTAGAGGGCTTTGCAATCTGTGACGATTGCAGTTGGCATGTCCAGCTTGTCCTGGGCATCCTTGACGTTCAGCTGGGGCTCGAAAAGCATCTTGAGAAACATCTTGAGCATGAAGGTCTCCTCCAGTGCGCTTGCCATAGCTTGACTTTCAGCACTCAAGGAACCATCTCGATGAGGTTGTTGGACCATGGCCACCACCGGATAGAATCCTCGGCTGGTCCTCATCCGATTGAGATGGTTCTTGGCGTCGATGTAGCTGGCAAAGACATCGTCGTACTCGTCCACGTTGAAGGCATTGTCGATGGGGCTGGTGTCATTCTCCGCGTCATAGTAGTACGTCTCGTCACCATCCAACACCTCGTTACCTTCAGCCTCATAGTCATCCCACTCCAGGTAGACCTCGTCATCACACCATGCTTCATCATCCTCTGCCAGGTAGGCATTGGTCTTGTAGGAGGTTGAGCCTTTGTTCCATCGGGATGAAGCTCCGTCCACCTTGCTGTCCTGGCCAATGATGAAGTTCATCGCCTTGATGGCCTTGTCCAGGGTGAGATTCGAGTCACCTAGTTGTGTCAGCTGTCGTTGATCCCTCGTCAGTCCAGACCGTCGGAGAAACCACCATGCTCGAATCTTCTCGGGTAGCTCGATCTTGTGCACCATCGTCAGACGGCGCTCTGTGTGGAGGTACTCGGCCTGAGACTCCTAAAAAGGTCTGGCCGTTCTTCCGCTGCATCTTCACGAAGTAGCTCTCAAAGTCTGATGGGGGCTCGGTCATGGCGTCGAACTTGAAGGCAGCGTCCAGGCGCTCGAAGACTGTTGCATAGGCCTCAGGCTTTGCCAGGTCAGGTCTTCCACACAATCCCAAGCTCGCCCTTGGAGAAGGGTCACCAGGTTGAACACGGTCTCTTTCTCCCGGTTTGCCAGCTTCATCTTCATCTGATAGATATCGCACCTGCGGCGATACTCTCTGTAGTCGCCCTGCTTGCCGTTGAACGTCGGCACATAGCTGTCAGCTTTGCCAGTGTAGGCATCTGCAGCTCCACCGCTTGAAGCGGTCCCAGTGCCAGTTGCCATGGCTGCAAACAGGTTTGTCGCACCAGAGTGTCCTATTGTTATGCCGGGGCTACCGGCTCCGCTACCAACAACAAGTATTCCCAGCCAACACACGAAGTTTGGGGGCAACAGTGAAGCGAAACCCTTACGGGATTGGAGGCGCAGCTCCTTTTGACTCTGGATGCGACGTGCGCGCATTTGTCCCACCACTTTGGGCCATACACCAACGGCACCAATGAATGTAGTGCATGTCCTCCATGACATGCCTCAGTGCACAGCGTTGCACTTGACAATATATATATATATATGTAAATACACATAGACAAAATTACACATATGATGTCTAACTGTTACACTGTTGACAATATTTCATGGGAAGCTCATCTTTTGTGTTGGATGACCTGAAGTATTTTGAACCAATTGTTTTCGCGTTGTGTGCACGCAGCTCTCCACTTGAAAGAGATTCCACAGACCGAAGCGCATTTCTGAATAATTCAAGGCATTTGAGTAACATGATACTTTAGTCAACACTTATATCACTTACCCAAGAGACCCTAAGAGAGGGGACTTCCAAACTCCAGCTACCCTACCAAAACCACTCACTGACAGTCGAGGGACGAAAAAAGTGTTGTTGGTGCCCCAGACTTTCCATGCCTCTTCCGCTGCTCTCACAAATCGTTGCTTCCGAGCACTGGACGGAACAAAGATACACAGATGCCGCCTGTGCAATAGCTTTATAGTGGGAACCATCGTTTGCAAAGTAATTGCTACTCTTTTACTCATGAGAGCACGGTCGGGGACTGTGTTGAGACATTCTATTATGTAAACAACAAGTATTTGTGTTGAGACATTCTATTATGTAAACAAAAAGTATTTGGGGGAAAATAAATTACTCACTCTATTTTGGAAAAGGATAATTTTGCCAAGGTACGTATTTACATCATTATTTCCTCTGTGCAGCCAATAGCAATCAGGGCATGGCTGGATCGGAAGGGATAGGTTGAACTGTTAATGGAAGTTGGTGGGATTAAAAACATGTTCTTAGTTTAGAGTCTATTTGCCAGCCGCATTTCCTAGACTCTAACCCAAAAATGCGTATTTCTTTTCACAAGCCCCAGCCGTACTGCTGTCAAAGCAACCACCTCAAAGTAATTCAAAGAGTGGCAATCGGAACTGGTCTTCCGGTCTTTCAATGTCTTTCCATGTCTTTCTGGTATGGTAAAACGGCACTTTTTTCTTTGATTTTCTGCCATATCCATCCTGCCTCTCTTCTGCAGGCGGAGGAATGGGTGAGGCTAAGGCGCCAGTGCCCGACCGTGGGTCAATACCGTGCAGCCGCTCGGCCAAGGATTTCTCCAGGTCCATGAACTCAGAAGCTTTGCAGTAGTACAATGCCAGTCGAATGCCTTGGCACTTCAGGCTGAAAATAGCATATTGATCTGATTGATCTTCTACATATTTCTACATATTAATATAATTTAATATAATATATACATATTTGAAATAAATTGAAATAACATATTGGACTCCATTAGACAGCTGTACACATTGTACACAAGAGAATGAAGCTTGGCATGTCCGAACATGATTAGGGTACGAAAAATTTGTGCATTGTATACATTGTGAGATGCACTTTGCATATTAGTGCATCTATGCGCTATGCATGTAACTCACAATCTCGAGCGCCAAGCGAGATGCGTTCATCATAATATGCCTTGGCATTGCCAAAGGCATCTGAGATGGAAAACTTTCCCATCTGCGACTCACCGACGCAGGGAATGCTGGTATGCCATTTGGACCAGGAAATGCGATCATGCACATGCACCATTTGTTGAGGAAGCTCCAGCTGACCAACTACCAATAGACATTGCCTTGGTTGTCTATAGTATGGACAGCAAACGAGCCAATGGTGACCCAGGGTGAGTTTGCGGGAATCCAGTGATCGTCTATGACACTCCAGGATACTATATACACCAGTGGAAGGAGTGAGAAAATTATCAACATGCATCCAAAATGTGTATCCGAGTTTCTTCAACGTATCTGCATGCTTCTCGAACATCTGAATCGTGTGATTCGGCCGCTCAAACAAGACGAAGCTCGTCTCCATGTCTGCATAGTTGCCAACTGTAATGTGGCCAAGGTCGCTCAAGCACATGGAAAAAGTGTAGTCTTCGAAGAAACTGCCAGAGCCATATGGAGCTTCAGTACTGTCTGCATGTTTGATGCAATAGTCCGTCCATGCCTTTACATGGTCGAAGAAGCCCCGACTCACAACGACACCACCCAGTTGGTTTGGAAACATGAAGGGCTCATGACCTGGGCTGTAGGCCACCGTTGGAACACCCAGAAAGAACTGCTCCGAGGCGTTGAAGCATGAGAGCCGTGATTCCAAGGTGGGCACATTGACATAGCTGGACACTGGCACTTTCATAATCCAGTCACACTGGCCATTCCCACCGGCCTCCTGCATCAGTGATACCACAAAGTGCCAAAAGTGCAAAGCTCTGAGCCCCCAGGTCTGTGAAGATTGCTCCGGTAGGTGAAGCGTCTGCAGGCCTTGCAACTTCTCCAACAAGTTTGGAGGCTCAGTGCCCTTCTCTGGAAGCACAACAAAGACAGGTTGGCCAACTGGGCCAACTGACTTCTGTTCGTTCTGTTCGCTGTTCATGCGGTTGGTCAACTGACTTCCCCATGTTTGGCGCATGGCCTGGGCCATCTGACCAAACTGCTCCACATCTGCCACCTCTGCGTCTTCATACAGCAAGGCAGGGATAAAGATGCACAGTAAAGACCGCGAGTGTTGCAAAGGAAACTGCATGGAAGGCAAACCTTCAGTGGTTTCAATCTCAGAGCTTTCATGATACTGCACAAAGGCAGCGTCACGAACTCGAGTCTTGAATTAAAAACTTCTTCATTTGCTGTAGAAACACTTCAAATACTGTTCTGCTCAGTTCAAACCAGTGTTACCTTATTTTCCATGAGTTGAATTCTCTCATGATGCTGTTGCTGTCAGGCTCCTTTCAACAAAAAGATTAGCGGTGGATATTTTAGTGCAAATAGCAAAGCAGCGAAGTACTTCCGAGGCATACAAGAGCATGGTGATTTGTCTTGCCTACTGTGAGAAACCCATTTCAGCAAACCAACGTTGCAAACACATTGTATTCCTCTGGGAGTTTATCATATTTGCACATCAGCTGAAGAGCCATCCAGCAATAGCAACTGTAGTGGATGTCGTGTCTGTGGCCCAGTGGTTGAGGGATGAAACAGGCACGACGACCCCACAAAATGCAAATTCACCGCAAACATTTGCCAAGCAGCAAGAAAATCTGCGATGCCAGCAACGACAAACATACAGCGGAAACGGAAACTGCAAGAAGATTGTTGACCATGGGTCCTTTGCACGCTGCAACTTCTCAGAAAAATGTAATTATTGAGACATGGCATGGGCCTTTCGAGGCGAGTTTCATTTCCAGGGGGTTTTCTATGTGTTCCCTTCTCCAACTAGTGCAGTTGCTCAAGATGCGGGACCCCGACTCTGCTTTGACTTCTTCCAGACTTTCGTCAAATGAGGATCTCAGCACCTCATAGGGAGTGGTGCCAGTGGTGGCGGGGGAAATCGCTACAGGATGCTACAGATTGGTGGCGTAGAAGTCGTAACCTAATATGCCACGAGTTGAAACTGATTGAACTATATAAATCATACACTGCTGAATCAAAAGATTATGGGCTGCCAGTTACGCCATCTCCAATTCTCATTGAAACGTAGAGGGACCAGGCGGGAACTGGGCAATGGTACGTTCTCAACGTGGATCTTTGGACAGTTTTATTACTTCCCAACCCTCAAGAAAGAAGTCCCAACAAATGAGCTCAACCCTTAGGAATATTATATATAGGAATAGGATATTGAGATCAATTGAGATCCTGGCTTGTACGATGCCTTCTGACCGCCCAGTCTGTTCGAGCTGTGGAACGCATGTTCCCCGGCATGCCTCTCGCTCAGCGACGTCAATGGAAGCTGCCTGCGCCTTGGGCGCCCTGGCGAGGTCAGAGAGCTGGGAGAAGCTTTGGGCCGGGCATAATAGTGAATGAGAAAAGTTTCTGAGAATTTGATTTCTAATTATTTCAAATTCTCTGGGATCGAATAAAATCATATAATATCATATAATATCAAGATCTTAAGGTATCGTGGTGATTTCTTAAGGTGATTCAAGATATTCAAAGGTGGTGGATGTGGTGGACTATGATCGCCTGGATGTTTTGCGTTTAGGATCGCGGCAGGAATTCTTAGCTTTTGCTCCAGCTATTTCCAGGTCAACCTCGGTGATCACAGAGCTAAGCCCAGCCAGGCTGGCCCGCTCTCGGAATCTTCCACACCTTGGCACAGCAACCGGATGCAACGCGTGGAAAACGCAAAAGATGACAAGAGTGACACGATGTGACACGTTTCCCGCCTTGGGATGAAGGCGCTATTATTCTCCTGGCGGATGCGTCAACAAACTCACCAAGTCCCCAGGACAACTTCTATCGAATTTCTTTCGGTGCATCGATCATCATCGATCACACGTCCTTGATCTGATGCAAAATGCAGAAGATTTGCTCGGAACAACGCAGTTTCATTTCAAAATGATCAGTTTGACGATTCAAGATTCCAAGATGTAAAGGGAGTGCAGCTGCCAGTGCAAACCCAATGTCACGCTCCGACCCGGCCTCTCTGGCCCACGGGACATGCCTTGGTACGCCTAGCCATGGGGCTCGCCGATGGGGATCTGAGACTCGAAGTGAAAGAGTCCACCGGAATTTGAGGCTCAAATTTACACAAATTTACAAAGTACACGCAAGCTGCAAACAGATATTCATTATGATGATGACTTTTGGACCAAAAAGGCCAACGCTATCAAAGATCCCACCCCCTCAAAGACCTCAACATGTTTGGTGGGAGGTACAAGTAGATTGTTGCAAAATTGGACAACTGTGTCGCATGATTTCGTATGTTTTTGGTCGTTGCCTTCCATTAAAAGGAACCACACCAGGAAATGACAAGATAGGAAAGTACAAAGGAACAAGTTTGAAGAAACCAAAAATAAACGGCAACCTCAATGCAACTCACCATGTCATAGAGCTTGGCCATGCTAGGGTCTTGAAGACCCATGGCGCAGAGACACCATCGGGTATTTTGACGTATTTTGCATACTGATACAGTATGTATGTATATATATATATATCCATCATTATCCAACAACTCCTGCAATATCGTCCAAAACATCCTGAAACGAAGGATGCTCATTTCCTATGAATTGGTTCAAATCAATCTAAGAGCGTGAACACATATGTATATATATATACGATATACCATTTCGAATTTGCAACCGCCTTCCACACCAACGCCAGAGCCACACCAATCGTCGCAGCACCGCGGCCTCCTCCACTTTAGCAGTATTCATCTCCATGGCCTGCGCTGATCAGTTCCAATTTCAAACGATCTTCACATGTTTTTTTTTCACATGTTTTCACATGTTTACTCGTTTTTATATCTTCCAAAGGTCCAAATACGTCCAAAATCATCCAAATACTCCACCAAGTTGGAACATACTGACATAGCGCTTTACATCTCATTGCAGCATATCAAGGCATATCATAATAGATCAAGGTAAATTGGAGGTGAATGATCTGGAGTGCATGATTGAGGTTGAAAAGCCTCATGGTATGGTATGACGATGAATGATGACTATGTGTCGATCCCTGGAGTCAAGAAAAACGTCTTGGCTAAGGTTTCCGCGCACAAAACACGGCTCTGAATCCATAAATAGGAAGCATCCGAAGCCCAATCAATCGGCCCTGGGTGCTCCGGACCCTTGCCAATGACCGCCCTACGGGGTCACGCAGGAGGCTCCACGCGCTTGCTCTGCCGCTTTGGGGTCAGAGACTGAGACTATGTGCAGCAATACAACACACCCTTTGAGTGCGAGAATGCGAAATCGACTGTGGCCAAATGGACCACAAATCAAACCTGTTTTTGTTATCCATATGTTGGTGAAACTTCAACAGAGAGCAACAGCAAGCGGCAGCCTCAACGGCCGAAGTCATATCCTTCCCAACTTCTCCATTTTGGCACCCTTTTCTCAGGAGTGTTCATGAATCGTTCTGCATACCCGTCCGGAATGGGCGCTGGCGTGCTCCAAGTTGAGGCAGCATTACGATCAGAAAGCGCATTGAGCAATGCTTGACAAAAAGCTGGGACTGCTTGGACGTGAGCATAGTGACCTGTACAAGCTCTAAAAGAATTAGAAAAGTATTGTACAATAGTATAATATATGTATATTATATAATTATATATGATGGGTATGGCTCAAACAACGGATATGGATCGTTCCGCGGTGAATCGGACGTATGGAACGAGTGACTTGCACATAAGAGGTTTGATCCGGACCTATTCAGAGCGTTTACTAGTGTGGCCTAGTATAAGTACAACTTGCCATTTCTGGGTATGGTACGGATCATATCCCTCAGAGATGTCTGGATCATGGGTATGGATAGGGGCTGTGGATTGCCTGTGGGGCCAGGGTATGGATCCTTACATTTTGAGCTGCGGCACGCTGCGGCCATATATTTACACATCCACAAAACATATATATGCCAACATGATGAATATGAAATTCTATGAAATCTTGTGTTCATATCTTTAATTACTTTGAGCATCTTCGCTCCATCCCGGGAATTCAGCATGCACTTGGCTTTCAAGAATCTGCTTGTAATCTGTAAACCTTGCAATTTTTAATTGGGATTAATTTGGATGACCTGTAACCTCAATGGAAAGTCGCTGACTCTGTCTCTCCTGCAACGCTCCGGGCTATAAAACCTTTCTACAAAGCTTGCCCAAGGAACTGCGATGGAAAAATATGGAAAATGGCACGTATGTCACATATATAAGTATTACATATGTCACATAGTCCCAAGTCCTCCAGAATTCCTGGTCAAATCCCTGAGACCCTCTGCCTGCATCGATGAGCTGCACCACCACAGTGGGATGTTTTCGGTCGATGTTTTGGCTTGTGGCGTTGGCCACTTCATTGCCGTGTCGCACATCCATCCAGTCACGCTCGCCGTAGATCATCTCCAGCTGCCCGATCTTCAACCTGGGGGTTGGCCGTGGCCACTAAGGGGGACCAAACCGCACCAGGTGATTTTTTTTTCCTGTGTGTGCATACAATATTTATAATCATATTTTTGCATAACACGGAAATAAGCTGATTCGACCTGACGTACATGTAAGTTCAACCTGGATCGTGAATGTGACGAATGTGACTCGTGTAAATCTACAAGGCAGAAGGTGGTGAAAATAAAGAGTAAAGGGTAAGCAAGGTAACTTAAACACTAGGAAACCATATGTTAAACACCTCGGCCCATCAGGCCCACGGAGGGCCACCATGCCCCAGGGCCATTTGGCCTACCAGACCCCAAGGCCACCAGGACTAGGCCTATCAGGCCCTACCTACCTACCTACATACCTACCTACCTACCTACCTACAAACATATAAATACATACATAATTTCATATAATTTCTAAGTACATACATGCATTTACATGTTTCTTGTGTTTTTTTGAGTGAACGAACATACATCTACCTTTATATGGTTATGTTGTCTTTGTAGATAGTTGTAGGCATACATACCCAGGCACTTCTCTTCTCTTGTATCTGCTATGATTTATTTGTTGATGTAAATAATATGACTTTGATTTTTGATTTCCCCACATCATTGTGTGGGGTTCTTGTTTTGCGCTTTGCACCCGCCGCTCCCGCCACTCCTTCCGCCGCCGCGCCGCCTCGTCTTAGCCTCTCACGTCTCACACCACACATGGCTCTCACACCAACTCACACACCATCTTTCACACACAACTTTGTCACACACCATCTTTGACACACCATCTTTCACACACCGTCACAGACCATTTTTCACACACCATCTTTCACATACCACTTTGTCACACACCATCTTTGACACACCATCTTTCACACACAACTTTGAGACACCATCTTTCAGATGTCCTTCCGCCCTTCCTCCGCCTCGTCTTAGCCTCTCACATCCAACTCATCACACAGCACTCAGTCTTAGCCTCTCACATCCAACTCCTCACACAGCACTCAGCTCACTCTCACACCAACTCATCACACAGCACTTAGCTCTCACCACACATGGCTCTCACACGAACTCATCACACACATCTCACACCACACATGGCTCTCATCACACAGAGCCTTCTGGAGGAGCTGCTGCGCGCGTGGCCGCCGCTGGCCCGCGGCTGGCTGTCGTGTGGCAGGCGCAGTACACAGAGCCTTCTGGAGGAGCTGCTGCGCGCGTGGCCGCCGCTGGCCCGCGGCTGGCTGTTGTGTGGCAGGCGCATTACACAGAGCCTAGCTGCTGCGCGCGTGGCCGCCGCTGGCCCGCGGCTGGCTGTCGTGTGGCAGGCGCAGTACACAGAGCCTCTGGAGGGACTGCTGCGCGCGTGGCCGCCGCTGCCCCGCAGCTGGCTGACGTGTGGCAGGAGCAGTACACAGAGCCTCCTGGAGGAGCTGCTGCGCGCGTGGCCGCTCCTAACCCGCGGCTGGCTTTCGTGTCGCAGGCGCAGTACACAGAGCCTCCTGGAGGAGCTGCTGCGCGTGGCCGCCGCTGGCCCGCGGCGCAGTACACAGAGCCTTCTGGCCGCCGCTGGCCCACGGCTGGCTGTCGTGTGGCAGGCGCAGTACACAGAGCCTCCTGGAGGACTGCTGCGCGCGTGGCCGCCGCTGGCCTGCGGCTGGCTTTTGTGTGGCAGACGGGCTTTCGTGGGAAAGTCGCAGTACACAGAGCCTCCTGGAGGAGCTCTGGGCTGGCTCTCACACCATCTTTGACACACCACCTTTGTCACACTACTTTGTCACACACCATCTTTCACACATAATCTTTCACACCACTTTGTCACACACCATCTTTCACACACCATCTTTGACACACCATCTTTTACACACCATCTTTCACACACCATCTTTGACACACCATCTTTTACACGCCATCTTTCACACACAACTTTGTCACCCACCATCTTTGACACACCATCTTTCACACCATCTTTGACACACCATCTTTCACACCACTTTGTCACACATCATCTTTCACACACAACTTTGTCACACACCATGTTTCACACACCATCTTTCACACACAACTTTGTCACACACCACTTTGTCACACACCATCTTTCACACACAACTTTGTCACACACCATCTTTCATACACCATCTTTCACACACCACTTTGTCACACACCATCTTCCACACAACGTTTTCACACACCATCTTTCACACACCACTTTGTCAAACACCATCTTTCACAGACCATCTTTGACACCACATCTTTGACACACACCATCTTTCACACACCGTCACAGACCATCTTTCACACACCATCTTTCACACACCACTTTGTCACACACCATCTTTCACACACCATCTTTCACACACACAACTTTGTCACACACCATCTTTCGCACACACAACTTTGTCACACACCATCTTTCCTCCACCTCCTCCTTTGTCTTTCCTTCCTTCCCCGTCCCCGCTACAACATTTCTTGCTCATTATTGGAAGAAGTTGACTTGTGGGGTTATCCGGTCCTTTAATTTTCTTTATGCGTAGGCGCGCATACATATTTATATATACGTATACTGGCCCCTACCCTTCTATAGATTGAAGCTGGGTCTTTGGGTCATAGAACACAGTTGATCAGTTTGGATTGTGCTTCAAAGCCTGAATGTCCTATGTATGTATGTAGTATAGCTTGGGTCTCTTTATTGTGTAGGCATGTTTGACCCTGATCCATTTTGAAGCAAGCCTTTGGAAGATGTATATGGAAAAAAATCTTGCCAGCACGAACCCGGTTCCTTTTACGTACGATGCCTACCTCAGTCTCGGGGTCTTCCTACCTCGTTTTACAATTTAACTATATCCGTCCACCCACCCATCCATCCGTCCGCGCGGGTTTGCGGCGGCACAGTCATCTGCACCGTGTCCTCCTCCTGCCGGATTGGTTGGTAATGTCAGCATATGTCAGCATTGAACTGTCACTGCAGAGATCAGGGCTCCTGTGGCGGAGGAGGAGCCACAGGCGCAGATGACGAGGATGCCGACGAAGGAGGTGGTGGCAGTTTCTCCTCCAACAGATTTAAGAGCGAGGAAGTGACATGGCCCGACAAAGGCTAGGAGTATACTAGGAGTAGGAGTTGAAGTGCGCCTGCCTTCCCGCTAACCACGCGTTCCGCGAAGAGACACTGGCTAAAGAAGCTCTTGTCCTGCGCTATATGCAATGGCAAAGTGGGCGGGTGATCGGTTCTAAAAAGGTTTCTACCATTTTCCACACAATTTTGATTACACGCGTCCTTCACGCATGGGTGGTTAAGAGCTGCTTTGCGGAGCTCCCAATCCGCTTGTTGCTTGGCCTTCGCCTCCAAATCCATTCAGATCCATGGGAATTTCAGGATCCTAAAATGGAGGTACTGTGTCATATAAGGCCACATTTTGTGGGTTCCTTCTGCCTGCCTTGGCCTTTTTCTCGGCTACTACTCTGACATTGCCCGACCTCCAACCAGGACAACGCGTTATATAGTGTCTGTGGCTCGATGCGATGACGAATGGCATCTGCTTGTGTGTTTGCAGGCCTGCCGTGGCGCTTCTTGTCGTCAGGCCTGCAGCACTTGTGCACCCAGACGTTCGACTGTACGGCCATGGCCTCAGGATGCAAGGTAGTCTCGCATGCACTCATCCGTCAGTCCACGTGCCGTCATAACGCTCAAATCTTAGATTCTGACGGTGGTTGGCAGGTCAGTTCGCGAGTTTGCGGCCGGGCGCTAAGGCTTAGGGGGTCCGGAAGCTGCGGGTATCCAAAGGCTTGCTTCAAAAGACCCTGATCTCATCCACAAAGACAAAATAACCATATGTAGATGTATATTCGTTCACTCAAAAAAACACAAGAAACATGTAAATGCATGTATGATCATGTATGTATTTATGATAGTATGATAGTATGTATTTATATGTCTGTAGGTAGGTAGGTAGGTATGTATTTATGACTGTATGTAGGTAGGTAGGTAGGCAGGTAGGTAGGGCCTGATAGGCCTAGTCCTGGTGGCCTTGGGGTCAGGCCAAGTGGCCCTGGGGCGTGGGCCTGATGGGCCTGATGGGCCTGGTGGCCCTCTAAGGGTGTGATTGAGGTGTTTAATATATGGTTTCCTAGTGTTTGTGGATTTTTTCATTCATTTGATGGAGTCATCAAAGAAGACTAAAAAGTTGAAGTCAGTTCTTTGAGTAGGCCGGGTTCTTTTCCTTAAAGCTCCGCAATGATCAAAGTTGCATTGGCGGTAAAGTCAAATAACCACAAGATACAATTGCATTCTGGATACGTCATTGGGTCTATTCTGAACATACTATTAACATCACAGATTACCTCAAGTTTTACTGTAACATCTTCCACCTATCTTCCACCTATCTTCTCAGCCATGTTCCCCCAGTCCCCCGCTGAAGTCGGCTCGAAACTCTGGAAGTCGACCTGCCAGTGGCTTTTTGCCCCAAGCTCCTGGATGCAAGAGAGCTCCCAAGACCTGGGACCACGATGGCAACTGGCAACTGGAAAATCCCATGGCTGGTTATATCATTTTATCTAAAACTTATATTACAAAATGTTATATATATAGATATATATATATATAAATGTATATATATATATAGATATAAATATTAACTTACATAGTACTTTATCATACTTTATCAATCTTTATCATATTAAATGCATATTCATTGTCGTTTAGAACACAATCGTCAAACAATTTGATCACATTTCGCACACCTGGTAGAGGTGTGCAACAGAAATAAGATGACATATGATGAAATATGATGAAGTAAGTGTGCAGTAATCAGTCCAAGAGACACAGCCAGCACTTTCACGGCCTTCCGTCCAACCATGGAAGATGTAATCTGCCAAGGCGGCCACAGTGTCTGAATCCATGGTGCTAGCGGCCTTACCAACCCAGCGTGTCACAATCCTGCGGCAAAAAAGCTTTGGGCCACTGTGTCTGCCAACAAGTCCAACAAGTCCAACAAGACATGGCAAGACTATGAGCTTTGTAATGTTTGGGAATGTTTTGGATGTGTAAAAGCCGGTGCTCTGCCAGGCTTGCCAACTCGAAAACATCAAACATCATGGTGCTGTCCTGGAACAGAGTTGGCGGCCCCTTTTTCTCGGCAAGCAACGCACGAGCATCATTGGTGATGAGCCGCGTCTCCAGAACCTAAACAACAAACGGATCCTCCACGGGGCATTGCGCAGCTTCTCTCGATAGCCTTTTGGTTCTGGACACAAACCAGCAGGTGAGAGCAAAATCAGCCTCCTCTCAGGGTGGGGCTCACAGCTTTTGTGAAAACAAGCGCCTCTAATACTTCTTGGGTCCTAGCCTGCCTGATTCTCTGCGGATAGCGCTCCGCGAAAGCTGCAGCAATATTTCCGCCAATGCTGTGGCCCAGCAAATCTATTTCTTGCAGGCCTGCAGGAAAATTATCGGAAAATGTGACAATTTGTTGAGTGAAAGTGTAAGAGAAAAGGGAACCGCTGTGTGACCAGGGACCAAATCCAAGGCATCTTCTCTAAAGAGATTGAAAGGGGATTGTGGTTTGTTGGAAAAGTATGTTTTTGCTACACTTGACGAATAGTGCAGGGAACGGCTTTGTCCAAAATGTATGTTCATTCCCGTCCTGCCTCGAGCCTTGCACCAAGCTTCTAAACTGTCGGCAAACCAGCTTTCAGCCTCAGTCCTTGGATTAAAAAAAGCTGCAACAGGAGCAGGAGCAGGCAGGGGGAACAGGGGTTCAAGCTGTGGCGAGTGCTTGAGAATCAAAGCAAAGAAAGAAGCGATGCATCGAAGCTGTATTTGTGTCATCAGTTGAAAACTGCCGTTTAACAACAACAACCAGTCAAATTGCGAGATCTACACGCAACATCATGCAACATGCAGAGTAAGAAAAGATAAGAAAAGATTAGAAAAATATGAAAAACACAATGGAACGAAAGGATACAACAGTTTTTACAAAAGGATCAACATGCTGCTTGCGAAGCCAAATTGCACATCAACGCCTGGGGTCCATGGAGGTCGGCTTGATAAGAACATCCCCAAAGGGTCAATAGCAATCAGTCGTCTGCGTTCCAGTGGGCCGTGAGGTTCAAATATGCGTTCCTGGCATGTGATGTTATATTGATGTTATCTTGGAGATGAATAGCTTCAGCACTTTTTTGGATGTTAATCTATTTTTTTCATGTACAGTACTACACCGCACATATATCAAGAGCGAGAGTCAATCTGCCAGGAAATTTTGCAGTCTCAAATGATACCAACACAATACCAGCGTCGAACAATGCAAGTACTACACAACAGCATCTATAGAAAATCAAAGGTTTCCAGATGTTGCGAGCTTCCAACATGTACTTCCAGCAGCTTGCGAAGATAGCACCACCTGTGCCATATCCCGGTAGGCAAACCAATGGCACCGCGCTGGCGGCGCTGTTCCCATCAAAGTTGACTTCGATGGAATGGATGGAGACCTGAGATTGGAGGAGCTTACACTTACACTAAACACCACTGAAGATACTGAAGAATGGTCCAAACATGTCCAAAACATCAGACTCTCCGGTGCAATTCCCTGCCTGACATCGTGGTGACGCAAGATCAACTGCCGTGTCGAAAACATCTGCATTTGGCAGCAAGCTTTTGAGCAGCCGTTGCTCTGCTTCACGGCAACCAGGCGCAAGTGCTGCTGAGTATCGAGCTGGCCCTCGTGTTCCACACGTTCCCATTTGAGCTACTGCAGATTACCTACTTCCAATATGCTCCAAATTATTTCCAAATGCAAAGTGCCTATGATGTGCCAACAAAAGCGTATTGGAAGACTGTTTTGCTAGTTCTTATGCTTTGCCAATAAGTGCGCCTCATATCTCACAGCTTCGTATGGCTGTATCACCATCACTCTTATTTTTTCTGCCGCTTACAATCTAGTAAATCTTGATGCCACTGGCTGTAGAAGGCAGGATGCTCGGGAGTCATGAGGACCCTCGAACAAAATGCACTGGAATAAAGTCCACCTCCCTAGCTGAAGAGTTCGATCTTGCTTATGGGGGTTCGGAATGTGAAGAGGCAAGGGCAACCAGTTTGCGGCCAACAAAATCACTCTACGCTGAACTGGCCTTAATTCGCACAGGTGTTGTGCTTACATGCGGCTCCACCTTTAACTGCAAACTGTGTCCAAGGGTCACCAAAATTCTTTGAGGCATTCTAGATCATTGATAGATATTGATAGGATCCCAAATAGAATGCTCTTGCAACCTTGCAACTTGTCCTGGTACCAAACGCTCCTAAAGGATCCTAAAGGGTTTTCTGTAAGCAACTCCAGTAAAGGATACCTGGTAAAACATGGTTGGAATGGCTGTATCACGTCACAAAGCATAATTATATATCAAGAATTATCAAGATATAGATAATTTTAATGATAATTATCAACAATTATCAATAATTATCATGAATTGATTCAGTTTGGAGGGTTCAAATCTTCACAGGATGCGACCACAACAGGACCTTCTCCATGTCTACCAGTCTTTTCTGTAGTTCCTCGCGCACCGCAGCAGGAGATGACTGCCAGGAGAAAAGTTGCAAGCGTAAGTAAGATGGATTTCTGCCTGCTCACCATAGCTTGTGACGTATGATTGATTGATGAAATAGAACAATGGGAGAAAACTTTGTAGGGAGTCCAACACAGTCTCATGGCTTTGACTGTGGTCTGGAACTATGTAGCTTGAGGACGCTTGAGGTGCCCAATGAGGGTAATCAGATTGACCCATTAAGCTGATGACCGAGCATGGTCCCAGAAACCAGATTTATGGAATTGCTTGGGTTGAAGGCTGGTGCTGTGCCCAATTTGTACCCTCCAAAGGGTATTGGCCATGCAAAAGAACCTGCTGCATCCCGACCTCAAGCTGTCCATGCGAAGCGGTTGCCCCAAGCACCTCGGCCATGCCGTTTGCACTGCGTGATCCTAGGGACCATGGATGATCTCTGGTACATGTCAAACTGTTGAACAGTTAAACATTGTCAAAGTGAACAATAGCCGCAACTTTTCTTTCACTGCCCTGCCGCCTATTGAATATCGATGAATATCGACTGGTTCTGACACAGTAACAACTGTGAGTGGTCGTCGGGCTCCCGCACCTCCTGGCAGTGCTCGGAAGCTTTCCGCAGCTCGTTGACTTCCGACTCGCTTTCACAGAGCGCATGACGCACTGCTTCCACCACCTGCATGGCATACAGGGCCCAAATCCAAAAGGCTTGGCTCAAAACCTGGAACTTTGTGAGGAAAATGCAACGCATGGGGTCCCACTGGTACAATGCATCTTCAGGAAGCAAGCAACTGTTGAGCCAGTTTGCAGTGGGCGTACAATAATCTGTGGATGGATGCACTGATGCAAACTGAAGTTCTGAACGAGCACGGAACCACAAAGTCTGCAGCATTTGTTTTGACTAGCTTAACTGATAGATTTGAAGATTCAAAACTACTTCGTGGGTTTCCATGTATAGATGCAGCTATTCATGCCCCAAATTTCTGCAGTCTTGGCTTTGAGGTCTTTGCCAGCCCCAATTTCTCCAATCCATCTCTGGTCACTGCACCTGGACCAGTTCGTCTAGACCTCCTCTCAAGGCATCTTGACCCTGGCCACTTCTTCCCTGTACTTCTACCATTGCCTTTGCGGTCAGGGGTTGGGATTGGTTGGGGATGATCTTGGCATTCTGTGTTTCATCATCCAAGATCATCCTTCAAGGTTTCTGCCCACCGCACGCTCGTGACCATGCGCAGGAAACCAATGAGCCAATCATGGAACCAAAGTATCACACGGCTGGTCCAGCTGGTCTTAAACACGTTTTCATGTTCAGCACAGTTTCAATCCATGTCATATGAATTGAACATAATCTATACCAGTAGTACCGCACAAGGCGGTGGCGGAAGTTTCAAAATAGGAAACCTATAGGAGAGGTTGGTTGTTGTGAACCACGGATGGCAGAGCGAATCCACTGATGGACTGAAAGGTGGTTGAGGTCTCCTCTCTTTCTCTCTCTTTCTCTCTCTTTCTACCCACCTACCTACCGATCTATCTACCTACCGATCTATCTACCTACCGATCTATCTACCTAACTAACTAACTACCTAACTAACTAACTAACAAACTAACAAACTAACAAACTAACTAGCTAACTAGCTAACTAGCTAACTAGCTAACTAGCTAACTAGCTAACTATAGCTAACTAACTAACTGACTGACTGACTAACTAGCTACGAGTACTAGTCCGAGACGATAGCATGATGGCAACGCCTGCTGCAGCTGACTCATGTGGCGCTGCAGCTCGCCCACTTCCGCCCTCAAAGATGCACCTCTGAACTCCTGGAAGGAGCTGAGTTGCTGGATGTGGGGCATGGGCCGCATGGGCGATATGATGCGATATGGAGCGATCCTGCAGGTTGAGAAGAGACCAACTTTATCCAATTTGGATCTGATATGAACATGATTCTGGACAGCTTAAACAAAGGAACTATATAATTATACATGTTAATTAGTTGCCCCCAATGATGCGGCACGCAAAAAAAACAACGACTCTGGCCATCTTGCGCAACAAAACAGGCAATCAAGAGATTTTGACCGCAGGATCTCGTAGTGAACATCATGCTATCATCATGCTAAACATGGTATGATCATCTGAATAGGTTGCAGCAACCCTGAACAAGATCCCTACAAGATCCCTTCATCACGTTTCACCTGTTGCAGATTTTCCACCACTGCTTGAAGGTCTGCCACTGCCTCGTTTTCCTGCACAAGCCGTGACGATTCTAGCTGGCTGATATGAATAGTCCTTGATGGCCGCTGACCTATGAATTCAGTCCATCATTTCGGGAATCATCCTGTGAGGTCAAACTGATAGTTACAGTCTGTTACAGTAGATTACAAGTACCGCACGTTGCTTTACGCTGGCAATGTTACTTTAATCATCTTGAATCTTTCTATCCAAATCTATCAGAATCGAAATTTTAAACTGTAATTCAATTGCCGTCTTAAGCACCTTTGATCCAGGCGCCAATTGTGCCTTCGCCGGCGGGGGCACTTGCGCCAAGGACCGCTCTTTGCTTTGAGCTTCTGCCAAATCCTATGGGTGTCAACGATTGACTGAAACAATGCCTGGATTTAAGTGCATGATACAGAGACAAAGTATAACGTGGCCCTGCCCGTTCTTGAATGTCCTTGATATTGATACGCCTTGTACATAAGTAAGGCATCTACTGATTGAATTTCTCTGTTGGACCAATTCAACATCATGTTTTCCTTGGCCGCACTTGGTCAATCCTCAAAAGTCACCGTGGTATTCGGAAAGTGGCGAGAGGTACATTTAGTTTCTGAATCCGGCGTCGAGTTTCTGAATCCGACTTCATCGATCCTCAAACAGCGACACTCATCTCCTGCTGCATTTTCTCAGTAAGCTTTCTGGCATCTTTCAATTCAGCATCAAACAAACTCATCCTCTTCTGGACGTCCCCCAAGACCTGACAATGCTTGGGAGCCAACCTTCAAAGCCTTCGACAGAAAACCTGCTCGAAACCAAGAAGTGACTGCTTCGGAGGGGAACTGTGCCTGATGAAGTTCTTCAGTGTTCTTGGCCCTGCTCTTTGCATCTGCATCCGTGAAGCTGGTCTTGTCCTGGATGTCCTTCAAGGCCTTTGGGAAACGTCAATAAATCAAATGTACAGTACAACAAGTACTGTACAGTCGTACAGCGGACTCTTGCCAGAAACATCCGGAAGCCAATGAACAAATGCCTGCTGCAATTCTTCCGTCACCCTTCTTGAATCTTCCAATTCAGTATTGAACACATTTATCTGCTTTTGTACGTCTGTCAAGACCTGAACAGGTGTTTTCTCACCAGACTGCGGTCCAGAAGTCAAGCATGGACACAGATCAACAAAAATGGTTTAAGACTTTTTAGGATCTTTTAGGATTTTGTGGGTGTTCACACACCGGCTGCAGCGCATCGAAGGTTGAGAGCCTGATCCATCTTCTCGGTCCTCTTTGCGATGGTTTTGGCGTCAGCATCAGTGCAACTGGTCATCTCCCTCACCACCTGTAAATCCTGAATGGAAAGTCGCGGGCACACCATGAATTGAGACAAACGCACAAGAAAGATCCAGAAAGGCCAAAAGACAACAAGTAATCACTACCGCAGCCACAATGGTGATGCTGCTCTGTGACACAACATGGCCTTTTGCATGTCTTCCGAGCCCCTTTTTGTATCTTTTAACTCGTCATGAAGGGAGCCCATCTGCTGCTGGATTTCCGTCAAGGCCTGTAGATGATGCAGTAAAGCCGGTAAATGAATGCTTCAGCAAGAAAATGGCACATGGTGGCTCGAACATGCTCGAACACTCACAAGTAACTGATCCGGCGTAGTTTTTGGGGCAACACAGCAGCAAAACAATTTGCCTGCTGCAAACCTTCTGTGCTCTTTGCAGCGATCTTTGAATCTTTCTCAGTGCCAATGGTCTTGACGTTAAGTTCTTGCAACGCCTCTGCAAGGCAGATCACAGCGGAAACGAAGTGGTACTGGACCTAGAACGATGGGACATCTCAAATGGTTTTGTAGTTTCAGCTCCACAAGAGTCTGCCTTTGCACTTTCAGGACTCAAATTCAAATCAACGCATTAAGCATCATGAAGCAAAACACTAGCAATCACTAGGATTTCAGCTGCTGATTTCAGCCAACACGGGCGGGCATAACCGAACACAGCGACTGTACCATCATCCACAGTCCGAAAACTGAGTACGGACATCTACAGGGAGAGGAACCTGCTGCATTCCTTCTGCATCCTTTCTAGCTTCTTTCATTTCAGCATCAAGTGAACTCATCTGCTTCTGAACTTCTGTCAACACCTGGGGACCCCAAGGACATACTGTAGGAATAACTTTGCTGAGAGCAAAGGCAACCAAAGTATACGAAGTATATGAAGTATACCGTTCTAGGGTACGACATGGTACGACCAAGTCTAATTGCGTTGCGTTGTGTTGCAGGTATTGCACAATTTCATGCTCTGCAGCATGTAGCAACGAAATGCAAAAGAAACATATTATAATGATTAACAATGATTAACAATGATTAACAATGATGAACACATGAACCAAGATGGTCTTTCAAATTTTGCAGAAGGACTTGTTGCATGTCTTCCGAGCCCCTTTTTGTATCTTTTAACTCGGCATGAAGGGAGCCCATCTGCTTCTCGATTTCCGTCAAGGCCTGTAGATGATGCAGTAAAGCCGGTAAATGAATGCTTCAGCAAGAAAATGGCACATGGTGGCTCGAACATGCTCGAACACTCACAAGTAACTGATCCGGCGTAGTTTTTGGGGCAACACAGCAGCAAAACAATTTGCCTGCTGCAAACCTTCTGTGCTCTTTGCAGCGATCTTTGAATCTTTCTCAGTGCCAATGGTCTTCTCGTTAAGTTCTTGCAACGCCTCTGCAAGGCAGATCACAGCGGAAACGAAGTGGTACTGGACCTAGAACGATGGGACATCTCAAATGGCTTTGCAGGTTCTGCTCCACAAGAGTCTGCCTTTGCACTTTCAGGACTCAAATTCGAATCAACGCATTAAGCATCATGAAGCAAAACACTAGCAATCACTAGGATTTCAGCTGCTGATTTCAGCCAACACGGGCGGGCATAACCGAACACAGTGACTGTACCATCATCCACAGTCCGAAAACTGAGTACGGACATCTACAGGGAGAGGAACCTGCTGCATTCCTTCTGCATCCTTTCTAGCTTCTTTCATTTCAGCATCAAGTGAACTCATCTGCTTCTGAACTTCTGTCAACACCTGGAATGTTCTCTGCTTGGGGACCCCAAGGACATACTGTAGGAATAACTTTGCTGAGAGCAAAGGCAACCAAAGTATACGAAGTATATGAAGTATACCGTTCTAGGGTACGACATGGTACGACCAAGTCTAATTGCGTTGCGTTGTGTTGCAGGTATTGCACAATTTCATGCTCTGCAGCATGTAGCAACGAAATGCAAAAGAAACATATTATAATGATTAACAATGATTAACAATGATTAACAATGGTCTTTCAAATTTTGCAGAAGGGCCTGTTGCATGTCTTCCGAGCCCCTTTTTGTATCTTTTAACTCGGCATGAAGGGAGCCCATCTGCTTCTGGATTTCCGTCAAGGCCTGTAGATGATGCAGTAAAGCCGGTAAATGAATGCTTCAGCAAGAAAATGGCACCTGGTGGCTCGAACATGCTCGAACACTCACAAGTAACTGATCCGGCGTAGTTTTTGGGGCAACACAGCAGCAAAACAATTTGCCTGCTGCAAACCTTCTGTGCTCTTTGCAGCGATCTTTGAATCTTTCTCAGTGCCAATGGTCTTCTCGTTAAGTTCTTGCAACGCCTCTGCAAGGCAGATCACAGCGGAAACGAAGTGGTACTGGACCTAGAACGATGGGACATCTCAAATGGCTTTGCAGGTTCTGCTCCACAAGAGTCTGCCTTTGCACTTTCAGGACTCAAATTCGAATCAACGCATTAAGCATCATGAAGCAAAACACTAGCAATCACTAGGATTTCAGCTGCTGATTTCAGCCAACACGGGCGGGCATAACCGAACACAGCGACTGTACCATCATCCACAGTCCGAAAACTGAGTACGGACATCTACAGGGAGAGGAACCTGCTGCATTCCTTCTGCATCCTTTCTAGCTTCTTTCATTTCAGCATCAAGTGAACTCATCTGCTTCTGAACTTCTGTCAACACCTGGAATGTTCTCTGCTTGGGGACCCCAAGGACATACTGTAGGAATAACTTTGCTGAGAGCAAAGGCAACCAAAGTATACGAAGTATATGAAGTATACTGTTCTAGGGTACGACCAAGTCTAATTACTTTGCGCTGTGTTGCAGGTATTGCACAGTATTGAATACTTACAATCCTGACAGGAATGCAATTTCAAGAACGGAGGAAGATGAGTCAAGAACAGTCAAAATGAAGGAAGGCCTGGTGGAATCCATGCGTAGACTTGCCGACGCTCTTTGCATCTGCATCTGTGCTTGTGATCTTTTCGTTCATCTCTTGCAGTGCTTCGCAAAAGGTCTGCAACATTCAAACTCTCCAGATTCAGAAAAAAGGGCGTCTGGACTTCCTTTAGCTTCGCTTGGCTTCCATGGGATTCCCATAAAACTGGCTTTCAAGGCAAAAGGTACAAATCCATACAAATCCAACCACATCCAACCACCAATCCACCAGTCGTCATTTCATGCTCTGGAGCATGTAGCAACGAAATGCAAAAGAAACACATATAATCATTAACAACAATGATTAACATTGATTAACACATGAACCAAGATGGTCTTTCAAATCTTGCAGAAGGGCCTGTTGCATGTCTTCCGAGCCCCTTTTTGTATCTTTTAACTCGGCATGAAGGGAGCCCATCTGCTTCTCGATTTCCGTCAAGGCCTGTAGATGATGCAGTAAAGCCGGTAAATGAATGCTTCAGCAAGAAAATGGCACATGGTGGCTCGAACATGCTCGAACACTCACAAGCAACCGATCCGGCGCAGTTTTTGGGGCAACACAGCAGCAAAACAATTTGCCTGCTGCAAACCTTCCGTCATTCCAAAGATCGTCTGGTCTGCATTTGCAGAAGTTGTCTTCCACTTTACTTCTTGTAAGGCCTGATCAAAAGATCGGATTTCGCCCATACTGTTCGTCGTCCAAATGGCAAACAAAACATATTTGACGCTGCGGTTCATCTTTCGACTGTATTAATGTCCCGAAGCGTCCAAAAGGAGGAACAAATACTCAGGAACCTGAATTGAAGGACCCATCGAATGGTAATCAAAATTATGTACGTACAGTAAAGGCCTATCTACGGGATCCAACATGGTTTCGTTATTATGACATGATACCCCATTTTGAGCACCGGATGAGCAGCACATGTCAAGCCTGCCACATTTCTTCCGCTCCCTTCCTGGCATCTTTTAGCTCGGCATCGAAAGAGCTCATCTGTTTCTGCACATCTATCAAGACCTGCAGTGCACACATGGCTAAGAACTTATGCTTCACAGGCAGACCGTTGAGAATGGTCAGCTTGATGCGTCTCTGCGCAACAAATCAAACACATGGCCAAATGTGGTGATTGTTTGGCTGATCTATGCATACGCAATGGCTTCTGCGAAACTCTCTGCAAAGCTCATGTACTGGTACATGGGCAGAAACAGTACTTTGCCACCCAAACAATTTTGAGACTGCAGCAAAAAATATGCAATGCAGGACTTGCCTGCTTCGATGTTTCTGTATTCGATCCAAACTTTTTTGTGTCTGCTTCAGAAATGCTCTTCTCCTTGACTTGTTGCAGTGCCTGCTTGCCAACCAAGTAGGAGGAACGACAATGGAAGAAACCAATGATGATCCCAGTGCTCTTGGTCTTGCTTTTGCTGGCTCTGCCAAATCCACTTGGTTGCATTTACTTGGTGGAAATATGCTGGAACAGCAACACTATACTGGAATGACAACTCTTGTTCCCAGAGTGCCGGCCTGCTGTACTTGTTCTGCGCCACTTTTTGCATCGTTCAATTCAGCAGCAAATGTGCTCATCTGCTTTTGCATCACCAACAAGACCTTCTGCGGCGGAAACATGTTTTACTGCAGAATGGGTTCATGGCTAAAGCCTGAACAATTTGTTCCTTGTCAGGAATCCGCTGAAAAGACACGTACTATAGCTTTCAAAGGCAAAACACAACAGCAAACTACGAGCCGAATCGAACCTGTCAACATCAAGAAACGATGGCTTGCAGTGACCTGCCTGCTGTAGTTCTTCGATACTCTTCCGTGCTGTCTGTTTGTCTTGGACTTGCAAGGCCTTGCAGCAATTGCTTCCAGATGGATCAAAAACATGCGTTGATCAGATTGTTTTGATCCAGCAATAAAGATGATCATGATGATTGGATATGACTGGTGTGGAATAAGAATAATGATAGTGGTGATTACTCAAAATATGACAATGATGGCGATAACAACACAACCAATGTTAATAGCAACAATGATAACGAAACTAACACTAGTGACAATAGCAATGTAAATCGTATACTGTATGTGTTGCTCTATGTATGTATGTATGTATGTATGTATGTATGTATGTATGTATGTATGTATGTATGTATGTATGTATGTATGTATGTATGTATGTATGTATGTATGTATGTATGTATGTATGTATGTATTATATATGTATTATATATGTATTAAATATATATTATATATGTATTATATATGTATTATATATGTGTTATATATGTATTATATATATATATTATGTATATTAATAATTAATATGATAAGATCCAGGATCTTTGAGGAGCAGTGTTCATATCACATCATCTCAAAATATTCACCCGTGTAAACAAAACCTGAGCCAATTTTGTGCTGTCCGCTCTTGAAACTGCTCTCAGGAGAAGTTGGCTTTGTCACTTTGGAGATCCCTCGCATCCACTGCGACTAAGTTGTATCCTGTAGTTGATAGTAGTTGATACTACCATGGAAGCACTTGTGAGTTGGCACAACATAGCACAACAAAGTCTCATCCATTGAGGCAGTCTGCTAAAATAGGTTCCCAGAAATTTTGGCAACGAGCGCGTTGTTTGTTTTTTTTTGCAAACATGACAACAAAAAAATATTTTCGATTCCAACAGCATGGACAGTCCCAGTTTTGAGACATCCCCGTGCCTGCACCTCCCCAGCTGAAGTTGGCCAATCTTTCGACGGTAACCTCGGAGTAACCGGCCTCGTATGGATTGTCCGCAGTGGCTAGAAAACTTCACTATTGGGAGACGGTTCTTTCCATATTTTCCCATCAAAAAATCTAGCAATATGAAAAACAAACAAAGCTGCTGCTTCCATGTGGTGTCCTCCGACTTAAAGATTCGCTACTCCAACCTTCAGATTCTTGAATGAATATGTAACATTGACGAGGAATGTTGAAAGGTATCTGTCCCGACAGTCCAATAGATACTGGATGAAAATATAGGGTCCCGAGCGCCAAAGACAGCAGAGACGATGGAGATGAGTTTGGCTCCCTGCAAGCAGCTAAGTAACAGTTGCAGATAGCTCATTTGGGAGCAATGATCTTCTTTCAGTTCATCAGACTTGCTCAAAACAAGTTGTTTGGTAACGCTTGCTTCCTAAAACAATAATCAGTCAGTATGAGGCCCCCAAAACCACACATAAAAACGATTACTGACATGCACTCCAACGTAAATCAAAAGCAGCTATGCAGCCTTGGTGAACACCTCAAAGATTCTCGGATTTCCACCTGGTCGCAGGCATTCTGAGATTGAAATATCTTGAAATACTCTGTTTCTCGCTGTTTCATTCAGACAAATTCACAGCTGCCCAGCTCAATAGCTGAATTTATGCTGAATTTCAACCATGCCATGCCAATCAATGCCAATCGCCAATAAAATAGGGATGGACATTTCAGGCTCACGAGGTGTATAATTATTGACCACACATGATTCAAATGACCACAATAAATTCACAGCCAACCCTGTCACTTCCATGCCTCGCCTGGGTTGTTGTCAAATGCTCACTCATACGTTTTAGCCTTGTAAGGGATCGAGATCGCTGAGATCACTGAGATCACTGTTGGTCTAGCACAATGCCTGTTCCAAATGGTGTGGGGCCCTGAGAAGTAATTCCAGTCATGTAAATGTGTGTGAATGTTTTGGTGGATGGATACTTCAATGACAGGATGGAATGTTAACTACTATTGCTCAAAATCGGCAATGGTACATCGTGAACAGACATTCTCATTCTGTTCTCCAATAGAACGAATAGTCTTCTCCAGAAGGAACACTAATTGCATGATATGTGCTAATTTCCCAGTGTATATATCTGTATATATATAATATACATTATAGATCATTATAGGTTATTATCCCAATATATCCTAAATTATCATGAGACGTACGCTTTAGATATGTGGCATCGTATGAAGCCGCAGCCTGGACTCCACTTCTTCCACCACACAGGTGAGATCTTGATCCAAGCCTGCAGCCTCAGCTAAGCCCCCTAGGAACGTCACAATGTGCAGGTGCAAGATACATCAATTATATAATGAATCAGAAAATGAAGAATTATATCGAATGATAACTGAATGATACTTGATTTACTTGATTTTGGTTGATATATTAATATATTAATATGTTGATATCGTTTGAGAATTCTGAGATGGCTTTGACCGGTCCACTCCGTTGATCATTCACTGACCGTCAACTAGGGTCAACCCACTCTCACCCGCTGAGAACCCAACTCTTTGATCCAAGGCCTCAGGGCGAGTGGAATTTGACGTTTCAATTTCCATCATGCACTTGGAACATCTTGGAATACCTTGGAATATGTTGGAACACTGCAATTATTTGTGACATGTTGTAAATGTACGGATTGTAATGCATAATGCATATAATATGTTGTATGATGTTGTATGCATCTTACAACACAACTAACCTCATCTAAGCTCAAATGAACTCCGTGCAACAAAATGTCATGACCGCAAGAATGGCTTGCAGGGCCAGGTCATATGGTTTAGAAACAGTTTCACAGCTGATCGAATCCCTATGCAAAAGGCTTTGATTGTTCAGATTTGTTCAGCTCAAGGGAATTATACAGCATTGTATACGGTAATATATGCCGTCTTAAAGTAATCGAGTACATAGGATATACAAAGGAATCGATACAAAATACCACAAATAAATATATATATATAGCAATGTTCAATTTGTTTGAAGGGGAATCTATGGTCGAACCCTCAACTTCCATAAGCCCTGAGGCACTGCACTTTTAACCTTCATGTCTGTAATGATCCGATCAATACCAGTACCAACCGACGCCAACCGATATAATTGCAAATCCAAAGTTGCCATCGTGATTTCGGAACTTGCAACATCTTGCAACACTAAAATCTACAACATCTTGATTGACGGTCAAACTTAGGTTTCTTGATTTCCATGAGGATCCTAAATCCTAACTGCAAATGACTCGTGGTTTTCTCTGCGGCGCTGTCCAGCCATGGCCTTGCATGGCCATTCCACGGCATGGGCAAATCGCTGAGCAAGTGGAAAAGGTATGACGGACTATGACGGACTATGACGGTATGATGTATGAATGACTACGTGTTGGAGGATTCATGGCATGTGCTTCTGTTCAAGAATTCATTTTGGTGTTTGGAAAAGGAAATCATCATGACAATGTCTCATCCAATATCTTGGACCTCGGACAGTGTAGTAAGTGCAGTTGCTCTGAAACAAATTGAACACACATATGACTATCGTATGACAACATAAGTACAGAATGCAACCATCATGACCCGTTTCACGAGGGAAAGAAAAGAGGTGTACATACCGTTGAATACCTAAAATATGACTGATGCACTGCTCATCGATCAAGACAAATCCCAACAAAAATGCTCCCTGTACACTGTACATGTTCCGCTGAGCAGCAGTCAGCCCACCCTTACATACGCCTCCTGTCGCTTTGCGATGTGGCACTATGCTTCGGTCCAGGCTGCTTCCTTCCAGGCACCGCTTGAAAATGCTATGTTTCGACTACGCTGTGAGGACAAAGTTTTCTTTTGAGAGATCTGTGCTTTCAGACATGTTTTTCTTCTTCTCTCTTGGGTCAAGTATCGCCGTTGCGCCCGATCATCCTTGGCTGAAAGCTCCCTGCTGTCATCGTGGTATAGCAGTTTGAGGTCAATGTAGCCATTTCCAAGGTGAGCCCCGGCCATCATCTTCCCACGGTGTTGGAACAGCCTCAACACTTCTTGCTTGGACTCATGGATGAGATTTTCGGTCAGGGCCTGCCAGGAGACAGCATCTAACTTCGGTACCATCAATTCCAACATCTTCCAATACTTGGACTTGTAAAACTTGCAAGGAGCATCCTCCATTCCCTCCAACACCAGATCCACAGCTGTCATCCCACTGCGGTTACGCAAGTTGATGGCCGCGAGGTCAAAACTGCCCAGTAAGTCTGAGACAATGTCGTGGCGTCCAAACATCACTGCCAAATGAAGAGCCGTCAATCCACCAGCATCATCCTGCTGCAGCCGAAAACAACAACGATATGGCATTGGTGATGGTTGGTGGTCTGAAATCTTTCTGGTCCGAGTTTAGCGCCAAGACCATCCAAGACCTATGATTCCCCAAGAATATTATATGATGCTTTCAACAACCATATCAGAAGCCATGGGAGGAATATAGCTCACACATCACGCACAAACAGGATCTGTCTCTTGCTAGTGGTAGAGACAAAGCAAACCTCCAGCGATCCAAATTAATTTTTCAGTGGGCGCAACAGAAATCTGATCAAATCTGCACTCGGAATCCTGGTTTTGAAGGGCCGTAAATTTTGCATGCTGCAACAAGAGTGTGCAGACCTCCCGCGCACCCGCAGCGGAAGCCACGTGCAAAGCAGTCCAACCGTCGCGAAAACAGAAGGGACCCTCTGCCAAACTTGCAAAAGAATCCGCTTCATGAAAATGTGGATGATCCAAAATCAGTTTGCAAAGAGCGACTTCATTCAAAGCTGCCGCATAATGCAAAGCAGTGCAATTCCGATAGCAGTAGTTCTCGTCGTCATCTTCATCATCCCACAGCTGTCCCTGGGTGATTAGGAACTCGAGCTCTGACCACACTTCATCCTTATCATTTACTCCTTGACCATCTGCTGCCAAGATATACTCCATGACATTTGTATCAGAAAACTGCAAGGATGGAAAGCGATCAGGATATGGATTTGTGAGCGGATACCTTTGCCTCTGGAAGCGGTCCTGGACAGCATTTGAGGTGAAAATAGGTAACCGGTAACTATGGTAGACCTCAAAAAGTAAGGACAAATCCATGGAAGTGGAACTTTAGAAAGAGAAACCTTACACTACTACATTACACATCATTACACTACAACTTGCAGGCAGCCGTAGACTGGGGTGCAGCTGACCTGAATATATCTCTGTGATCTTTGAAGAAGTGAAGGAAACTTGATGGAAACAAGAGTTGCCCCTATTCAAACCATAGCCAAACCTTTTTCTGACCCAGTGTCTCTAGTGATATCGATCAATCTCGGTGGCTGTTTGCGCAGCACCAAGCAGCAAATGGGCAGATCTTCTATGGGAATGGTCCAGTCCCGAGAGGCAAAAACTAAAAGGCAATCGCTGTCTGAGGCCACTTGATTGCCAAACCTCGGGAATGACCCAGATTCCAAAGTGGAAGTCACTGCCAATAGATTGGAGAGCTGTTGCAGTTCAAAACATGATAAAGCATGCACCACAGCAAGAGTATTGCTTCAACGATGTATGTCGTCGATTTTTTGAAGCTCAATCATTGTATAACAATATATATATATGACATCGGTTTGCACCTTTTCAGACCAGAGTGCCTTCAAGGTGCTGAACTGTACGTGGTGCTCAAAGTGCCTTTGGCACCATGTTGGGAGTGCACCGTCCTTTCAAGAAAAAATGTCCACCCCAAGCTGGGGTGGGGGGGAGCGGTGCAGCTTGAGGACATATGATGCGGCCATGCTCAAATGGAAACCTACGTCAAACATGTGATGAACACTTATATGACATCGGTTTGCACCTTTTCAGACCAGAGTGCCTTCAAGGTGCTGAACTGTACGTGGTGCTCAAAGTGCCTTTGGCACCATGTTGGGAGTGCACCGTCCTTTCAAGAAAAAATGTCCACCCAAACTTGCATGTCGCCCAATCTTGAAATGCCAGCTGGTTTACCGTCGAAAACATTAAAGGTGCTGGGCCAGGTTGTCAGCTATGCGGCTGACATAAAAGTCTCGAAAACACCCAGCTAATACAGTGCAAAGCTTATTAGGGTAAGGCTCTGCCACATGGGTCATCCATCGCCCATCAGGCAACTGACCAGCTAAGGGAACATGAGCATGACCACTATAATTACACAGTCCTCGCTTAGCACCAATGCATCTATACGGCTCCAAAGTATGCAAAACAAGATGAACAGCTACAAAAAGAGTGGATTTCTTCCATGGCATGCCAAAGCTACAGTATTCAACTTGCTGTACACGAACGTGCTTTCGTCTCAGAAGCGCTCGAATTGGGGGGCACAGCCAAAGTCTGGAACGAGCTGGATTCTCAAGTGTAAATGGCAGGATCATGCGCAGGGCTAACAGCATGACTCGTACAGTGAACCTCATCAGAATGTTCCCTACGGCGACCTTCTGAGCATCATGTGGTTTGAGTCCTTCCAGCCCAAGTGGGCATTCATCAGAACGAAGTCGGGGAGGCCCACCTGGACGGTCTCGTGCCCGGCTAAATGATCCACACGGTGTACCTAAGTGTCCAGCTACAACATAACCAGTGCGTATCCATTCCATGACTCGGTGTTGAATACTAGGATTGGTAAGGTCGTACTCCGGCCCAAAGTTGATGTCCCACAACAAAACAGCGATGCCTACCACACGCCCAACTGCTCGACCCAAGCGCCCAGAGCCACTGAAGATCTCCAGAAACACTGGAAGCTTTAGCGAGCATTGAGGCTTCAGTGCAGGTTGCGCAGGTGCCGATCGAGGCTTTGCACCGCCTCGATGCACCGTTGCCGTGTGGCCTCGCTGAGGCTGCCGAACATTTGTGCCAGTCGCCCGCCTTTTTCGTAGTTTTTCAGGCTCTTCAAAGCCTTCCATCTCCCTCGAAGTTGGACTTCCTGAAGGGGGCGGAGCTTGTTTGCTAACTCGAAGGTGGCCCCCCCGTGTCTCAGTCGGTACATGTGTGGCTCCCCGATCGGCTGCAAACCGCTCTGGGGCCACATATCCTTCATGAACTCGGTGACTTCCTGGCTGCTGGTAGTGAAGCTGAGCTGATTCTTGGGCCTTCTCTGCAAACCCAACACGCGACCCATGGCTGGGCCCAACTGCTTCATGTGCTCGAGGTCCAAGGTCAGACTCTCGTCCCATTGCAAGGTCTTTGAAGGAACTCCTTCCTCCATGGGATGCAAAAGGATGCTCCAGTGGCGATACACCTCTTTTCCCCCTTTCACCGGCCTGACAATGTCCTGAGTCCTCAACGTCTCGAACTCCGTCGGCCGAAGGTAAAGGAAGAATGTGAGGAGCAAGGCCAGGGCGATCTCGGGCTTGTTGGCTTCGATGGCTTTCACAGCAACCAGGCAGACCACCTCGTACGGCAGGGGCATTCGGCTGCGAGGTGGGCACATCTTGCGCCACCCCTTCAAGGTCTGCTGAACCCTTGGCATGCTGGGATGGGATTTCATTTCCGGCTCGAAGTGAACAAGGGCTGCTACAGTGTAAGTCCCCAGAGAGAGGTCTTCTCCCACCAGGTACAAGTGCTCCAAGTAGCTCTCTAGCGCCTTGTACTTGTCCTTGATCTTCTTTTTTCGCTGCCACCCCACAAAGTCGCCTTTCACCTGTTGATATCGCTTCAGGGTAGCATTGCTCACTGACGCCATCCTCAGGTTCACATACTTTGAAGGTGCCAGTGACAGGGCCTTTGCCTGTCTCTGCGCGGCCCTGCGCTTCTTCTTTTGCTTGCTCGGCCCCTTTGACATCTCGACTTCCCAAGCAACTGGACCCTGCCGTGGCGGCTCTACTATCAAGGCCGCCGCAGGAGCCAGCTTCTCCTTTCTCGCATTCTTTTTGACTTTCTGAGGCCATGTCACCGCCACCTGCAGATCTCGGTATAGAACCATCTCCTAGTCTCTGTTTTGGCACCGATGGCTCCCATTGGCCACGCGAGGGGTTGTCTGCAGGATTCCACTCTGAAGGCACCCACCGCACAACCAAGTTTGAGCCCGTGGCCAGCAGGTAGGAGGAGGTTTGCTGCACGACCCTCCGAAGACGATGAGCATGCGCTCGTCCCTTGCTGAATGCTAAAGTAGCTGTCATAGAATCACTTAGGACCAGGTGCCGTTTCCCATGATTACTAACTTTCCTCAACTGATGGCGGACTGCATGCAGGGTAGCCCTGGCCTCATAAACGGGCATAGATTCAGCATACTGCCACCGGTGTCTACCAACAACCTGCCATGTTCGCTTCACGATGGGAAAAGGGACCGTCTCAAAGTTGTTAATCACATCATCAATAGTGAAATCTGCTTCAACAGCTACACAGGGTTCACCTTGAAATTGATCGTCTGCCAAAATAAAAGCTCGAGCTCTACTAGCATTCTTCAACCGAAACCTCCACCTCTCATTGTACCGACCTAGCTCTCTGCATTCATCAACACTGACTTCCCCAACACATACACCAAGACCCCACTCCGAAGCATCAACTGCACTGATTTGGGGTACCCAGGGGCTACGAAGATCTTGAACAACTAAAGGTGCTATGCCGTCCCAAACATTCAGCTCGAACCGCACGCTTTTCCAGAGTGGCACTTCAGTTCGATAGTGTTTCTGGATAAAAGTGTAGCACTCGCCGAAGATGGACAGCGTTTCGCGACGTCCCAGGGCTATGAAGGTGATGTGTCCAAGGAGCCTCTCTATCTCTTGTCCACTGGCTCGCCCTCGCTTCAGCAAGTGTCGAAGAGCCAGTCGAACCCTCCAAACCCGCTGGCGGCTAGGACGAAACTTGCCCATGTTGTCATACTGCCAACCCAAGATCTTGGTCTCCTCTTCAAACTCCTCCTCCTCATGGACGGTGAGCCCCGCACATCGAAGCTCAGAGACCGCTCGGCGGAAACGACTCAGCACCTCCCCCCGGTTGGTCCCCATCACGTGCAAGTTGTCAACATACTGCACATGCCAGAACTTACCCAGGGGAGGCGCACAAAAGTCTTGGAGTCGTTCTGAAGGAAGAAGCCCGGCCCTTTCAGCTATGCGCTCATGAAGTCGTTGGCACCACCACAAAGCCCACGCCCATCCCATGGGCAACACAGCCATACGGGGTGTCAGACGGTCTGACTGCCGCAGCCTCTTCCCATTAAGCTCGGTGAGGCCTATTTCTTTTGCCGTCACTGACCTGAGGCAGAAAAACTTCCTCAGCTCCTCCGGCATCTTCATGGTGTAGAAGGCATTCTGAAGATCTGCTGAACAAACAAAGAGCTCTTCATCCTCGCCGAGCTCAATCTTGCTCAGGCTATCACCTGAAGTCAACCTCACATTTTCCGGAGCCCTGCACCAAGAGTTGGACCTCCGACAATCCACAATGAGACGAAGTTTGCTCTGCTTCTTCTTCACACAGAACAGTTCCACGTGCTCCACTCCCCCATCTGTACTCAAGTCCACCAAACCCAGCTTCCATAGTCTCTTCACGAAGGCACAGAAGGTGGGCTGATGTCGCAACAAAGGGTCCGAGTAGCACCGCTCAACCCCAGCTTCCCTGAGCTGGATCGATGCTTCTTCCCGGGTCAGCACTTGCTTGCGGATAAAGTCCTTCACCGCACTGTGCCCGTCCTCACCCCATAGCATAGCCAGATCGTTGGGCTTCAACTCCTCAGCAGGCAACGAGATGAGTTCGGGATCGAAGGACCCAAGGGCTGATGGGGCTGGTGTTCCACCATAGTCCTCGGAGATTCGAAGCGCTTGCAAGGCTTCTGAACCATCAATACTGCCTGGGCCGCCAAGTTCAGCGACGCAGGCACCAATGAATTCCAGTGACTTCTCCTGGGCCGCGCTCATGCACAAAGTTTCACACACGGACTGCCCAGGATCCCAACCACTGCCTCCATGCAAAAAATTGAGAGATCTGACGGTGTGACAGACCTCCTTCTCGACCTCCCTTCTCTTGCCAATCCTCTGCTTGCAGCCTCTTGACAAGCAGCTCCTAGCTGGCGGCTCCACTGTAGGGACCGGCAAGGGAAAGAGATCACGTGCAACTCTGCGACCTCCACAGCCATAATTCTCTGCCTCAACCTTATGGCTATCCAGCTGAGGCAGATCCTCATCATGCATTTTCATCTCCGCCGCCCTTTTTCTTGGCGGCGGAGTTTTGTTTTCGAGCAGCTTCTCGCTCCTCTCTGGCCTTCCTCAACGACTTCTGCAACACTGCCTCCTTCTCCGTCTCTGTCTTCACATGCTCAAGGAGGCTTGGACAAATCATCAGAGTGCTGAATTGCCTGGTAACACCACCAAAGCTGCTCTGCTCTTCAAGGCTCAGCTTTCCAGGCATTGATCGATTTTCGTTCTCCCGGGCTTTCTCGGCGTAGGAGAACTCTATCGTCTGCAGCCTCCGAAACTGAATCTCCACGCTCAGAAGGTTGCATCCATTCAGCTGATCCACAAGCAGGGCTTGTCGCAGAGCCATGCTAACTTGGAAGTGTTCCGCAATGCCCCAAGCAGTGCTATCGACTTTGCATATCTGCCTCACTCTCTCATGATGGCCTTCAAAGCCCAGTCCCTCCACGGCGAGGTAGTTGATGCACCAGGTTGAGGTGCGGGGACCTGGTAAGATCCACGACACTGGCTTCTCACGAGAAATCTTCGCCACATCTTGAAGAGATCGCTCAGGCACCATCATACCATTCAAAGCCAGCTCCAAGACGCGGGCATCGCCACGTCCGGCCCGACCCATGAAGGCTGAGTAGTCTCCGCCATCCACGCACTCGACAAAGAGATGCACTCCTTGACCAAGGTCCTGCACATGCTTGGCACCCTTCACCTTGTTGACCACCACCTCTGGCACTTCGGAACCAAAGTCCCGATCACCGAACTTTTCAGCTGCTAGCCACCGCAAGGTTCCAGCAGGATAGCCACCGCTAGCCCCCGCTGATTGGCCTGCTCCAGCAACCACCGGAGCGACCGCAGGAGCAGGAGCACCCGCCGCAGCAGCTCCACGCCCTTGCCGCTCTTGTTGAGCCACTCTCGCAGCTTCAGCACGCAAAGCTGCCTGATCCCCGGCGTTCCAAGCTGGAAGTCCATAGATCTGATTTGCTGTGACCCCTGGAGGCACAACCCCAGCTGCTGGACGTATTCGAATCCCTCGCAAATCTTCATTCAGCAAAGAAAGATCTTCTGTGAAAACATCTCTGTCTGGAGTAGCTACCACGTACTCATCATTGGCTATGTGTTCCAGGACCCACCGCTCATGCCAAAGCCTAGGACCACCAACATCATATTCTACTAAGGCATATCTACCCACCAAAGCCATGCCGCCGGAGCCTAAGCTCTGCCAGTTGCCGTTGGGCTAGTCGCCGCTGTCTCTCGGTCGGGCTAGCACCCAACTCTGCTTCTTTTTCTCCACGGTCCAAAAAACGATAACCAATCAACCCAATCACTATCACTAAAATCAACCCAATTCCACTAACCAACAAACCAAAAACAAACTTCTGCTCGCTTCCTTTGGTCTCTTCCTTCGGGGGCACACTGGTTTTTGTTCTTTGGCCAGGTTTCTCAAATTCCCAGCCTAGATCACTCTTGCCTGGTTGAGGTTGCCCAGGCCCAGCACCCAAATGCTGCTCCCGTCCACTCGAAGGTGTCCAGGGCACCACTCGCGGACCTGACAGCTCTGCTCGCAGTTGCAACTCACGAAGCACTGCCCGGTCCAATTGCTGCTGGTACAGAACGATCCCTAATCCAGCCAAACTCACCAGGTTCCCCACCAACAGCAAAGACCAAGGGGGGCTAATATGGATACCCATGGAGAGTGGTCGCTATTGCAGCTTGAGGACATATGATGCGGCCATGCTCAAATGGAAACCTACGTCAAACATGTGATGAACACTTATATATATAACTATAACATATAAACATATACATTAACGTTTTAACTTTAACAAACAACTTCTGACTGAGGATAGGAACATCAAATCCATGAACATGGCTGGCGTCTTGGCATTCTTCGCGAGCATCTCCTTAGTTCAAAAACAAAGGAAAGCAAGAGCCGC